TGATTAACTACACAATAATGGCGTAGAGGAAAGAGCTTGAATGATTTTTACAGAATCTGAACCAGATGAAGCTAAATTTTTTTTTTTATCTTAAATGCAAAATGTAAATATTTTGTAGTTTTGTTTTAATTGCTGCTCAGAGTGTGATGATCCATGAGTCTGTGAACTCTAATCAACGATTAATCGATCACTTATTTCAAAGATCACTGAATCGTTTCAGCCTTTTGTTCACTCCAAATTAATCCGGCTAAGCAGTCATGTTGTTACTAATTTACTTCTGGATGAGATTCATCCTGTATAGATAAAGGTCAAACAAAGCGAAATAAACGGCTTGTAAAAGTGGGCGGAGCCTCACCCAGCCGCCGCCGCTGCGGAGTTCTGGTAGCTGCAGCTGCGGCTCTTATGTAACAGGAGCTTCCATCCTGCTGCTCAACAGATTAAAACCAGAGTGGATTAACACACACACACACACACACACACACACACACACACACACACACACACACACACACACACACACACACACACACACACACCAACCACAGCTGACCTACATTTACCAAACATACGCCTCTTTATGCATGTATGTTTTTGCGTGTGCATGCTTGTCGTGTCGTTGTGTGTGTGTGTGTGTGTGTGTGTGTGTGTGTGTGTGTGTGTGTGTGTGTGTGTGTGTGTGTGTGTGTGTGTGTGTGTGTGTGTGTGTGTGTGTGTGTGTGTTGGGATTACTCTGCCGTTATGTTTGTTGTGAGTGTGGCGCTAATCTGCAGTGAAAGAAACACAACAGCATCTTTTTATAGCCGCTTTCCAACATGCAGGCGATGACTTTTATCCATCTGGGTCGAGAAAAATTAATTAGATTCATGGAAATTTTCTTTTGATGTCGCCTCGCATTTGATGCCTGCAGCATATTGTAAAAAATGAGGACAGAATCAAGAGAATATTAACTAAATAAACCTCCCACATCTAATTAGGTTAATTGTCAGCTGGCCGGAAACGTAATTAGACATAAAAAAGGAGAATTTGGTGAAGTTTAGTCTTGAGGAGTTTTAAGACATTTTGAATTGCATTTACAGAAAAATAAAACATTTTCTGTTGAAAAGCAGGAATGACTCACAATGAAAACCATCAATGAGAGACCCAGAAACCACCGCGGCTCGGTCCATAATCCTGGGTCTGTTTCCAGAACCAGCAGCCAAATTTCAGACAGACAAGGAACCCGAACCAGAAAAAATAATTACTGGAGAAAAATCATTTAAAATAAATGATGAGCAGCTGAGCTCTCAGCTAAAAACAAACACGTCCAAGAACAAAATGTAAACGCAATTATAAAACAGCACATCTTTGAAAAGCAAAAGCAGAGCCTCCTGCACAACCAACAAGATCGCAGAGACTGGCTTCTGGGAGACAAGGAGAAAACAAAACTCTTGTCTTTTCCTGCAGCCATTGTACAGCGAATACAGCTGACCAAATGTGCTGGAGCTCAGCTGGTGTTGCTAGGTAACGGGCTGGGCTTTTAATGCTGCAGCTGCTTTCAGAAGCAGCAGAAACGAAATAAAAGTATGAAAATGTATTATTATGTTAAATGTGAATTTAGAATAATAAATAAATCCCCTTGAAATAAACATAAAATGTCGACCAGAAACCGAAAACAGCCATAAATGTGACCCAGGTTAGAAATAATCACTAAAATAAGGATTTGCAGGAATCATTTAGAGTAAATCATCCGGATACCTGAGCAGGTAAAATGTTAGCAGCTGCTGTCTTTAGTCCTCAGACACAGAAAGGCGTCCAGGTGTGGCAGCTGTTTACCTGAACGTCTCTGAACCTTCAGGCTGGATCCAAACGTTGCTTCCTCCCAGAAACCCAGACGTCGTGCTGCTGCCGCTCTGAAGATGCGTCTCTGTGTGTTTCAGTATTTGCACGGTAACGGGGTCGTCCATCGCGACCTGAAGCCGGAGAACCTGCTGTACGCCGACCTGTCGCTGGACGCGCCGCTGAAGATCGGTAACAACACACACACCGAGCGTCAGCTGGGAAACACTGACCTACATGTCAAAAAGCAGCAGCAGGTTAAAAGGTTAAAGTGTCAAACGAAGCAGAATGAACGACCGGCTCTAAGTTACTGCTGTAATTATAGAGATGTTTGTCGTTTTCTGGGACGTTTTGAGGAAAATAAACTTTAAATGTCACATCCTGGCACTTTATTAGGAAGCAGCATTTAAATGTTAACTTTAGAAAATCTACATGAAAACTACATTTTATCGAACTAAAAACAATTATTTATAAAACCAGGATGAGAGGAAATAGAGAAAACTTTTATTTGTGTGTGTGAATGTTTGTGGGAAAACAAATGTTTAGAGCCGATAGGTCCGCAATTAAATTGAAACAGCAATATTATCGTTTATCGCAAGAACTAAAATTTATCGTCCAGTAAATTTTGTTAGCGACAGTCAACATGCGCATAGAGAACCACGTCATCAGCATAAAGACGGATGTTGTGAAATGATGCAGTAATTATTTAAGAGAAAGAAGTGATCCAAGGACGGCGCCCTGGAGAACGCCGGCCGTTTTTATCGACTCTAACAAACGGAAACCGTAGTAAAACCCGGGGTTAATGAGGGATGTTGTGATTTTAGATAAAAACATTTAAAATGTATGTTAACGTTATGTGGCGGCTGCAGAAATCCTGCTGCTATGGAGATCAAATTAAATCATAATGAGGTAAAATCCAAACTAGCAGCTTATTATGTAGCGACAGGGTTTGCTCTGCTTTCTAAAAATAGACGCCGCTCTCAGTGAAGCTGTAAAATAATGAACATGTTGCCGCGCTGCAGCCTGAGGAGCCGAGGCTGGCCGCCAGACGCCGCTCCGCTGCCCCCTGCAGAGAAACACATTCTCCTCACAGCCCAAAATAGAAACTGGATTCAACTTTTACAGAACGTGTTCGTGTGACTCGGTCCAAATGTTTTCCTTTCCCACAGCCGACTTCGGCCTTTCCAAAATCATCGACGACCAGGTGACCATGAAGACGGTGTGCGGGACTCCGGGTTACTGCGGTGAGTAAACGGGTCGAGTCCATGACGGGAGAAATGATGTCAGAGTTTGAAGGTTTGCAGGAGGCCATGTTGGATCAGTCCAAACTCTGAATCAACTGTTTTGACTCTTATTTGAGTGAATTTTCTGCCCCTGAATGAAAAACCAACATGTTTTAATCAGAAACTCACCAGACAGACTCAGACCTGCAGCTTCAGAAGCTTTTTATTGAAAAACTGATTTAGAAACATTTTCTTTCTCCATTTTTATTATATTTCCTTACATATTTTAATTATTGTCATTTTAGTCCTTGAAATACCAAAACTTGCACATTTAGATTTTGATCAGCCTGATGATATAATTTTTGAATATTAAATGATTGATCACTTGATCAGTTACTCGGTTCTTCAATAGACTTTTTACCAAATACGTTTTAATAATTTCATGAACAGATACTTTTTATTTTTATTTGCAAAGTCAACATATTTTTACTAGTTCAACATATTAGTAGGTGTGTGTGTGTGTGTGTGTGTGTGTGTGTGTGTGTGTGTGTGTGTGTGTGTGTGTGTGTGTGTGTGTGTGTGTGTGTGTGTGTGTGTCTTTTTGGGATCATATTGCATTAATAAAATCTGACCATGTAGAAAAATATTTCATGCTCAGTTTATTGTTGAGCAGAAAAAATCTTATTTTTTAAAAATGTTTTGTTTTCTTGGATGTGTATCTGACGATTTGTTGGAAAAGGTTTGGACTCTCCAGGTGTAGATCATAACACCATCAGTCTGTGTGGAGCTGCTTCACCTGGCTGTCATGTGCAGGTGGGCGGCGATGCGTTCGCTGCTCTGTGGGATTTCTCAGACCTCTTGGCAGGAGCGTCTGTCGGCCATCTGGACGCTAACTGCTAACCGCTAACTGTTAGCCGCTAACCGCTCCCTCTGCCTGCAGCTCCAGAGATCCTGCGGGGAAATGCCTACGGCCCCGAGGTGGACATGTGGTCAGTGGGCGTCATCCTGTACATCCTGTGAGTCACACACACACACACACACACACACACACACACACACACACACACACACACACACACACACACACACACACACACACACACTCACCAGTGTGAACCGGGACATGTTCTCCATGTCTGTTCAGAGACATTAAGTCGGTTCTAATGGAGCCTGATGATGCATTCAGGGACCGTCGGTCAAAATTTACATCCAGACGTTCATGTTGACATGGAGTCAAACATCCTTTCTAAGTTGGTAACTTCCCCTTCCCACCAGTGTGTTGTTACTTTTTAATGCATTTGGACTGAATGTTTTTGGCACAACGACGTGAAAAACCACAGAATAAATTAATAGTTTAGTCCATTTGAGCTCAACAAAAATATATGACTGGTTAAATTTTCCATGAATAAATTGTGGTTATAATCTACAGAATAATCCGTTTTTAAAGTTAAAAAATCAAACAGTAATCTATTTTATCATCATAGAAAAACATTTAGAGGATTATTTTTAAATCATCACTATGTTTAGACATTTTTAAATATCACCATTTGAAACTACATATTTAATTAACAAACTAAATATTAGGTTATCAAACTAATATTTATAAAGTGACAGAAATATATATTTTGACACTTCATATTTAACTCTAAGATAAATATTTAGCTAATATGCAAATTGCCTTACCTATATTGGACTATCAAAATAAAAGCTGGGTTTTCCAAACTCCTTTAAAAACTCATGTTAGAGCTAAATGCATATTTTGCTAAATATTTAGCTCCAAGTTAAATAGTTAAACAAACTTCATGAAGCTTAGTAATTAAATATTAAGTCATTTTTATAAATGAATGGTGAAAATATAATAATATAATCCAGTAGTTTATAATAAGCAGCTCGATAATCCAGGTAGTTTTCACTCTGTGTGTCGGCTGGTGGAGGCGTCCAATCAGCTCTAAAGTTCCACTTCCTGTCCTCGTCCAGTCAGCTCTAACGTTCTGCTTCCTGTCCTCCAGACTCTGCGGCTTCGAGCCGTTCTTTGACCCGCGAGGCGACCAGTACATGTACAGCCGCATCCTGAACTGCGACTACGAGTTTGTGTCTCCCTGGTGGGACGAAGTTTCCCTCAACGCCAAGGACCTGGTCAGTTCCTCACCTTTTCCAACAAAACTGAATTTTAAAGTCTTTGAGGACTCTTTTTATAGAGCCCCCTAGTGGCCACAAGTTGGAAAATCTTTATTCTTTTGCATTCGCTCGCAATAAATGAGCAATTTGTTCTGTTTGGTGTGCAGTTATAAAGATAACAGATGTCTAAAATTACACTGCAAAAACACAAAATATTACCAAGGATTTTCAATCTAATTTCTAGTTCAAATATCTTTAAAAACTTAAAATAAGACAAAACTTAATTAACAACAAACTGTTCAACAAGATAGGAGGTTCATAACTCAATAATTGTTTTATATTGATTTTTTAAAAATGACTAGTTTCACAGGCAGATTTATTGACTTAAAACAAACTCATATTTCTGGCTAAAATCTTGTGAGTTTTGTCTCATTTCAATACATTTGAACAAGAGATTAGATTAAAAATACTTGGCAACATTTTGTGTTTTTGCAGTGTACATATTAAAGAGAAACATATTTCTACATTCCTGATCTAAAATCGATCTATTAACTGAATCATGAACATGAAAACCGCTTTTAAGCATTCAGACTGAAAAATATAAAATCAAAACTGCTAATATCAAACAAGATATCAGTTTTGATTGGAGAAGAAAACTTTCAGTACTAAAGATGCTGCATGACGTAACTGAAAAACAAATCCTGCCATGTCCACTAGGGGGCAGCACAGTTTAACTCCTGCCTGCTGTGTGCATCCAGATGAAGATGAAATGTGTTGCTGGGTTTTGTTTCCTGTTCTTTACTGAAAGTTTGAGCTTTTCCTTTGAGAATCTGCTGCTGTTTTCCCTGCAGGTCAGTAAGCTGATCGTTCTGGACCCTCACAAGCGCCTGAGCGTCCGGGAGGCCCTGCAGCATCCCTGGGTTCTGGGCAAAGCCGCCCGCTTCTCCCACATGGACACGACTCAGAGGAAACTGCAGGAGTTCAACGCCAGGCGCAAACTTAAGGTGAACAAAGTTCATTCTGTGGTTTAATGGCTTTAAAACCCTTTAAGTGTTTTAAAACTCTTTATATATTTACAAAGTTAAATCCCACTGGGGCCTAGGAACTGATTTTTAAAGAGAGATAAACAAACACAATATATCTTCTAAAGAACAGGCAGTAAATAAACTGAAAATGTGAAATGAAAGCAGGAAAAACTGATATTGATGGTACTGGCGAGCCACCAGACTTTATTTTAAATAGTTCTTATGCAGGTTTTAAACTAGCTTCACATGCTAACTATGATGCCTGCTTGTGCTCCTCTGAATTAATGTAACTTTACATATTTTGTAGCTCAAACCCTGGTGTGCTGCTGCCTCAGGGCTCCTGTCTCCGGGTTCAGCATGTTTTCTGGGGAAATCGTGCTGCATGTTGCGTTTAATAATGCGTCACGCTGCGTTTCCGTCCAGGCTGCCATGAAGGCTGTTGTGGCCACCAGCAGGATGCACGAAGGATCCCGACGTCGCACCGACAGCTGCGAGATGCCTGGCTCAGGGACTTCCAGGCAGAGCAGCATGCAGCAAGACCCGCCTCTCGAGACAGCAGGCTCCGCCCCCGAGGAAAAAGAGGCCCCGCCCCCAGACCAGCAGGTTCCCCAAAACGACGAGCCCACGCCGGCCAATCAGAGCGCAGCCAGCCCCTCCCCTCCTCGTAGCCCTAACCCCCCCAGCTCTGAAGCTCCGCCCTCAGGCCCCACCCTCGTCAGACCGCCGCTGCGCGCCGACGGCCTCCGCCAAGCGTCGGTTATCCCCAAGTCGATGCTGGTCCAACCCCGGCTGCCGCAGAAGAGCTGCTCCGTCATCGAGTCGGTCCACCGAGGCGAGGCCACGCCGCCGCTGGGCTCGCCTTCCAGCCCCAACAACCTCAGCAACGGCTTCACGCCGGGGGCGGAGCCTGGCGCCAAGGCCGCCCCCTGCCAGTGAACGCTTCACAACAAGCCCAACAGCTGCGCCTTCCAGTCCTTTTTTTATTAACATCCCAGTTGGTGATCTGGGACAAACCAACTAACGTTTGTGTAAATTTAAACGCCTCACTGGGCTGCTTGGCTGCTAGCTAACAGCAGAGCTAACGCCAATGGTTGGTTTGGGGACCGAAAGGAGCCAAAAGAGCTAATATGAAACATGACTGGGTGCATGTTTGAGCATAAATAAGGCTTTTTGTGGAGGATCCTGAATGAATGTAAACCTGGAGATCAGGACAAAATGGAGGTTGAGCTTTTTTTCACACTTTCCGGCTCAGATTGAAGATCTGGGCGACATAAAAAGGGTTTCAGAATATATTTTCCTGTAAAACGTTCATGTAAACAGACAGCAGGGCTCTGGATTTCAGTTCTCTGGCTCTTCCTGTTAACGTCCAGAGAGTTTGGATCTGATTTAAGAACAACTTCCACTTTGCTCGTCTGATTGTACCGTTCTCCGGCTGCAGGACCACGGGTTTGGAAACGTTAACTAACTCAACCGTCTTCAGTTTATGGCTATTTTACGTTCAGCATTTCTCGGCTGATTTAGATCAATTTTGATGTTTTTACTCTGCTGAATGTGTTCAGTTGAGAGCTGGAGGCAAAAATACACAATTTTATCTGGTTTAACTCAACGTGACGCATTAAACTATCGGTCAGTTCAGGTTTGAGCTACAAAACAAAATTATGAATCAATAAGTCCCAAAAACCTGAAATCAAACCAGTTACTGAGGTTAAACTAATTTTCTTTTTAATTAAAACATTTCCATACACTCATGTTATAAAATATATTAATGAATGTTTTATTTACAATTTAATAAATTAAATTGTTACAATTAAAAATTAGTAAAAATGTATAAATACTGTATCAAACAGATGAATGAAATAAAAGAAAAATTATTTTGTTAATCATAGGTTATTTATTTATTGATGGGCTTTTATTTTGTTAAGTAAATAAATTTGAAATTGACAAAATAAATATAAACATATATTTATTTAGCTTTATTTCATGGAGAAATGTACATATTTGATGATGTATTATAATAACAGTATATTTTATGTCATTTTGAATGAAACAATTACACAGTAGAGTTCATAAAGCGGATTTATTAATAATATAGAAGTTACTGAGCCTCACCTTGTTTCACCAAAAACTGAGACACATTTAAGTTAATAATCCCAAAAACACGTCAGAAATGGTGCAAGCTTCCATTGAACGCTTCAAAACCATCAGTTTTAACCAACTCCACTAACTTTACCAGAAAACCAGTAAATCATAAAAGCAAAGTCATAATGGATGCGTACCTTTGGCTTTAGGGCTTGTTGTTTGAAAAATGAAGAAATTGACATTTCTGCTCCAAATGTTGGAACCATTAAGAGTTTGTCAACTTTCCTGCCGATGACGAGACGATGCAACCTGTAAACCGTCTGTTCGCCTGTTAGACGGGAATGGTTGCTAAGGAAATAAAATATTTTAATGGAAGCTAAATTGCTTTTTAAAGCTGTTTTTACTAAAGAGAATTTAGTTGAATTATTAAACTGATTTTATAGCATCAGATTGTTTTTTCCTGACACTCCCGGTCAGTAGGTGGCGGTAAAGGACCGTCGCCACCACCATTAAACATAGGAAGAAGAAGCCGGGCTGTCGCCATGGTGACGGATTGACGGTTGAAACTTTTAAGTGTTTAGCTTAGAAAAAGAGACCAAATTATAATATCGAAGACAATAAAACTAAACTAAAAACAGGAATAATTTCCTCCTTCGCTCTCAGCTGATCACCAACATCTCAGATAAACGGTTAATCTCGTTTCCTTAAAACATTGAACTCTACAGACCGAGTTATTCTCCTTCCTCTTCCGCTTCCTCTTCCGCTTCCTGTCCCGTCTCAACATGGCGGACTGATTGTATCTCATGAACATGGAGGAACAAGAAGCTTCTGGATTTCTGGAGTTTTCCAGCTTCTTCAACTTGCGCATGCGCATTCAGACTTTATGTAGAAAGAAGAAAAAGCGCAACGTTTGTTTTCTAAATGTTTCTACTGTTTACTGAAGACGCCTGCAGACTCGGCTCTGCGGCTGCATGACCTGATCGTGTAGCTCCAGTTTGTAGGTGAATCGTGTTTGTGAGCTTCGTAAAACGTGTTGTTTACACTTATCAGCGACATGATGCTCCTGTTTGCACTGTACATACTAGTTTAGTTAGTTCGGTTTTAGACCACTAATTACTGACATCTTTATGCTCAGCGTGAGCACAGACACGGTCAGGATTCAAAACTTCACCCAGAAAAAACACAAATGTAATGTTTGCTGAAAATCAAACCATTTCATCGGATCTGAAACCACACGCTCTACCTCGTTTTGTACAGGGGCTTCCAGAGAAAAACAAATCCACGCAGAAAGACAATGAGAGACGGACTGACCTGAAACTGCGCTTTGTCATGTACGGTGGCTCAGACAGTCCAAACGTCACCATGTGAGCGTCCTTCAGTGGGGTCACAGCAGGTTTATCTAACGTTAGCATTGTAGCTAACACTAGTACTTTAGCATCTATGCTTAGCTAACGTCAGCGTCTGTGTGAAGGCTGGACGCGACTTTAGCTAAACTGTTTTCTAGCTAAAATGTTTTTTAGTTACAAGCTAAACAGTTTTATAAAAAAGTTACATGTTGAATGCAACTTTAAAAAGTTGTAGGATTCACTGAGTGGAAGAAGGCTAAAATTAGCATGACAGCTATCATATCATGGACAGTTATATTTAAAAAGGTTATATGATGAACGTGACAAAATATCTTATCAAAATATCCAATCATATTTCTTAGGTCATCAGATTCAAACTACATGCATTTCTGGAGGTTTATTATTGTGGTGGCAGCAAATCAAAGTCCTGGTTGAAGATTTAGGGCAGCAGCCAGGTTGAGGGGGAACACATTCCTCTGTGCATGCAGGTCTTTACTTTGGTGGCAACCATAACTGAGGTCTCAAAATGAAGAACATTAGCAGTAGCTACATGATGTTGGCTATAGTCATTGTGATGCTAGCTCCTGATCTGATTAACGATGGTAACTGAGCGGGGACTAGCATGTCTCATCTGGTCACGTACTGGATTACCTGCTTCCTCTGTTGGCTGTTAGCACAGATAGGTTAGCATGAGCCTCAGATAGGCTAGCATCTAGCATGCCAAGGATGGTTGGGAAACAGTATCTGTAAGTGTCAGACATTAGATGCATTGGCATGTTCTTTTGAATTGATTTACTCTAATGTGACACCAAGCATAAAAATATTGTATAAACATAACATTTTACTGAAATTGGTTTTAATTGCAGCTTCTGATTGGGTGATTCCACCTTAGTTTTCACTACCTTGACCATCTTAAATTTGCTCTAGTATAAAAACATGGACTTGATTATTCTTCACCAAAAGCAGAATATTTAAAGCTCACTTTATTTGTAATAAAGTGTTTACTCACAAGGACGCAAACAAACAAACGGCCATCATTTGTGCTTCCTCCTCTTTCTGAAATGCAGCCTCACCTGAAAAGACAAAACAAGATGAGAACATGCAGAGAACTGGCATATTGATTTCACCACCTCAACCTCAGCTTCAGCTAACTGGGAATAACTGCTTATCACTCAATAATCCAATAATGTCTGATTATGTATTATAGACAGTATTAATCGGCGCTGCTCGTGTGAATGTGAGGGATGTTTTGAAGCTCTAGATGCTTCGTTTTGTTCTGCACCCGGCAGACATGTTTGTTTGGCACCTCATGATCCATGAAACCAGTACAGCTGCTGCAATCTGATTGGTCAAGAGGACGAGCTGTCTTCCAATTGGATGACCCGTATGCAGTTTTTCGCTCATAGAAGCGGCAGCAGTTCCCTCTTCATGAAGCCTTGGCTGTTATCCTACTGAAAGACGACTCCCAATGGAAAATATCTTTTACTTTTTATTCAGATTATTGTTTTTGATTCTGTCTCAGCTACCGTATATAAACCTGCTATCAAAGGACAAACTTCTTATTTAAAGAGGAACCAAACCTCCACACTCACATTTGCCCAGAGGCGATAAAAATGTTTTATTTTAAGCTTCGGTGTAAAGAATAAAATGATCAAACAGTCGTCAACATATGAGAAAAAACAGGAAGTTTCTGTGAAAGGCAGCAGCTACAGACTCAGGACTGAGAAGACAGTCCTGAGTCTGAGATTCTGAGCTGGAAAATCTGATCTGAAAACGTCTGAACTGCATCGTCTGACGGGATCAGTGTTCTCTGGCTGCTCTGATGAAGATGTTTTTATTTCACGTTTCAGTCACAGTTTGACCTCCTGAACAGCTTCAGGTCGTAAAGTTGGACGTTTTCGGTTCGGTTCCTCTTTAAACCTCCTGCTGAGAACAGAACCTGTTTGTGTCACGGCTGCATGAACCTGAACACCTGCACAGGTACGTCTGTGTGTGTAAACCAAACCCAGTCAAAGCATGTTACTGTATATTAGACCAACATCTATACTCTTCTGTAAAAACATGAATATTTTTGCTTCTATCGACCAAACTGGGCTAAACTGTAAACACTGTTTGTTTTGTGTTTGATGAGTAAAATGTACATTTCTTTTCAAATCTGAAGAATGACACACATATAAGTGGCTGTTCTGCATGTATTATTTACCTTCTGTTGGTCATATCAGATGAAATAATAGGAGCAGAAGGTTTGAATCCTGCAGGATGTTTCAGGTGTAAAAGTAAAGATTAGCTAATAGAAATCACCTCTTTGCTTCTCGGGTTCTTCCTTCAGTCAAACACCTTCAGTTCAGTTTATTCACATCCAAAACAAATTATTATTGCTGTTCTTTCCCATGACATTATATACAGTCAGAGCAAAACAAGATCTGCATTTCAGATGAGTCATTGGCATCTTTATAGAAACCCAAACGCAGCATTTCAGCACACATAGCAGCTGTTATGCACGGTGGTGGAAGTATGGGGATCGATTGGGGATCGTTTTAAGTCCCTGGATTTGGAAACTTTGGGGTTTCTCTGTGATTTTCTGTGTTTTTGCTGCTGAAATTAGTTCAAAACTTGGTAAAAAACAGATCATTTTTATTATTTCCTGATAAGTAAAAACTTAAAACTGCACTTTATGTTGAATCTATCATCTAATCCACACAGTTAATAATTTCAGATTTAAGGAGACAGCAGCAGTCAGTCCTCTGAGCAGACTCTCTGTCTATAAACGCCGCCATTTTGGATCGTTCCACACCAGTAGGAAGACCAGGGCTTCCAGGCTGCAGCTGACACCTCCCACACTGAGGTGGCGCTGTAGCCCCGATCTGACTTCATCCACGGCCCCTTGGCACCTGCTGATGTCACCGGCGTGTCATCGATCCACCAGAGGACCTGCTGGCTGGACGAGGTCAGTCCCTGCAGGAGGCACAGCAGCAGGCGAGGCGACTCTGGATCCTCTGAGGAACGTTTGGACGTTAAAATCTGAATGGACGGACCTGAAGACGTGAGCGGAGCTCGTTTTAAACAGTTTTCAACAAAATAGTCTGAGAAAATGGAGAAACATCAACCAAACGAACTACAATCTGCTGCTGAAGGTGTTCCTCAAGGTCCAATACTTGGCCCACTGCTTTTCTAATTAGCAATCATTACTGTGAGGATTTTATTGGACTATATACTCAAAGAAATCATTAATTTGTCACTCTGGTTATAAACTGCTGCCAAGCGCTGAACCCTGAGGAACGCCTAGAGCAGATTCTAGGTTATGTACTGAAAGACAATATTTCAATAATTAGCATTAAGTTCAGTTCCAGTTCAAGTTATTTCACAATTAAAGTGGATAAATATTTTGCAAAATGTAAATGTTTGCCAGTCGATCTTTTGCTTTTCATCAATATTAAGGAATATTCATTCTCCTATGTCTTGGTGAAAAGTTATTTTTGAGTTTGAACTTATTTCAAGTGAACTAAGACACATGAATTGGAAACTAATTAAAATAATATTTCTGTGTTATTGGTTTGCGTACCTGCTGTTGTGTTTCTCAGAGGAAGGAAATGCGTCGTTTCTCTCCGGACGTCGACCAGCAGGTGAGTTCCATCGCTGAACACCATGGAGAACCGGACCGAGCGCCGGCCAGGTTCTGACTGGACCGACCAGCACCTGCAGAACCAGGAGGCAGAGGATTATTCCACAGGCTGAACCCAGCAGAACCTCGTCGACCTGCGGATCCTCACCCGAGAAGCAAGACGATGAGAACCTTCATCCTGAAGATCAATGAGGATTCAGATCCACATCAGCAGCGATCCATGTCCAACCTCCTTCACTGCAAAAACACCAAACTTCACCAATGAACTTTGGAATAGTTTTTAGTGAAAATATCTTAGTACACTTGAAATAAGACAAAATAACTTTCAAGCAACTTATAACATGGGAAAAATGTCTTACTTTTTAACAACAGACAAAAGTGTATAACAACTCTGTCATCAGCATAAAATCTGACAAATAAACAGGATGGATGTCATTTCCAGCCTTGTTCACTGCAAAAACAAACATTTCCCAAATATTGTTGGTCTAGTTTCTGGTGTAAATATCTTAATACACTTGAAGGAAAAACTGACTTATAAGTGACATTTTAGTTAAATTTATGAACTTGTTTTAAATCAATTATTTCCCTTAAAACAAGACATTTTTCCCATTTTACAAGTGAAATTATCTGCCAATGGAACTAGATATTTTTCATCAACATCAAGGAATTATTTACTTAAACATTCTCCTGTTTATTGTTAGTTTTGTCTTAATCAACTGTACTAAGAAATTTTCATTAGAAACTTGACCAAAATTACCTGGTAGGATTTTGTGTTTCTTCAGTGTTCCTAATCCATAAATACTTCATAAATACTTCAGAAGCTAATTTTGGTTGTTTGGAGGAAATTTATCAGTTAAAACTACAGAAAATAAAATAGTTTTACTGTAGATTGAAAGCATAAATATTTTTATGCTTTTCATCAATATTAAGGAATATTCATTCTCCTATGTCTTGGTGAAAAGTTATTTATGAGTTTGAATTTATTTCAAGTGAACTAAAACACATGAATTGGTCTTTTTTTTACACAAGGACTTGTGTAAAAAAAAAAAAAGTGAGGAATTAGACAAAACTATCTGTGTAAACTTCAGAACTCAATATGAACTTGATATGTTTCATCTGTAAGGATGAGAAGCAGCTCAGTGTTTTCTGAACACATTCAAAAATCTGTCAAATGAAAATAAAACATTTTCCCATCCAGGTTACTGGGACCGGACTGATCGGTAAAAGTGTAAATAATATCTAGTTGAATAAAATTACCTAAGAACATCTTTCAAAACTATTTAAAAAACAATTAAACCAGCCAACAGTAATTTGGAACAGATATGAATATTTTTACCAAAGTTAATAAAGAAAAATACAGGCTCCATATCTTAGACACAAAATAAAAACATAATAAACATATTTTTCCTTTCAGTAACTTTGTGCATTAAACCAAGTTATTGTCTTAATTCATAATGAATAAACTCAAGTTTTATCCTGAGTTTATGAATAAACCTCATTAATTAAAGGTTAATTTAAAATGAATATGGATATTACAGAGAATGTTTTTATCCAATAAGAAAAAAATCTTCTAGTTTTCTGCATGTCGTTAAATATTGATGTTTTACCTGAGAAGCCTGTTGGCGTGGACACGCTGCGTGCCGCTCCTCAGTGAGGTCAGGATCGTCTGGTTCTGGGAAACCGACCCGTCAGAGCGCTGGAGCAGAACCTGGGCGGTCTCAGAGGAGACGGCCCGCTCTGGGATCAGATGGGCCGTTGGTTCCGTTGGTTCTGTCGGTTGGTGCAGAGAGAAAAACAGGAAATTTTCTCACTCATGTCGATTCGACTGAGAGAAACAAAAATAAAATGGGTTTTCTGTTAAACTGTCAGGAACACTTTAGAAAATGTACGTATGACACATGAAAGCTTGAGCTGTCCTCAGAGCGGAGATGGGATCAGAGCAAACAGAGAGCTTTACTTTCTCTGCTTGTTTAGTTTCCACCTCCACTGTCCTGGCTCTCCAGGCAAACCTTGTTCACCGACCTCCACCACCAGGATCGGGAATCAGCATCGGGAATGCTAATCCAAGTTTATCGCAATCTCAGCCCGATGTCCTCAGCCGGAGCGCCAAGGACTTAATTTATGCTGTCAATAAACTTTTCTAATCACTTTCTGTGTCTGAGTCTCTCCAGATTGATTTTACGTTTCTCACATCATTGGAAAGCCAAGATTCTTGAGATTCCAACTGTGTGCAAATACAATGCAGAACCTCTCCTTTTGTCAAAGCACTCAAAAATGTAAGTTAATATCCATCTTTTCACATCCAGATTAATGAACTCAAATAGTTTTATGTCCACAATCCAACATAATCAACTTTCCCTCAGCTGTTTCTCAGATTTCATCATAACTCCTTCATGAGCGTTTTGGTAAAATAAACTACAGATTTTAGCGTTTCCATGTTTGTGCTTGATTAGTAATCTTTAATTACTAAAGATCAAGTTTAAATAATACATCAAACCATTAATTTAATCTGTTCTACTAGTGGAAAAACTCACACATTTATTTTATTTGGACATGAGACTTTAAGAAGAAATTATGAGAACAAAAAATGTGTAAATACATTTATTATTAACATTTGTTATGAATCAGGGTCATAAACAGTGAAGTGATTTTTATTTCAAGATTCAGGAATAAATTTATCAAACAGGAGGCTTCCTCCACCAAATACATCCCATAATTTTGTAAAGTAAAACAAGCAGTGAGAAAAAAAAAACATCCTTCACCCATAAAAAAACATTTCTGGTTAATGTTAGCATGTTTGGCTAATGTTAGCATGTCTAGTTAATGTTAGCATGTCTGGTTAATGTTAGCATGTCTGATTAATGTTAGCATGTCTGGCTAATGTTAGCATGTCTGGTTAATGTTATTATGTCTGATTAATGTTAGCATGTCTGATTAATGTTTGGTTAATGTTAGCATGTCTGGTTAATGTTTGGTTAATGTTAGCATGTCTGGTTAATGTTTGGTTAATGTTAGCATGTTTGGTTAATGTTAGCATGTCTGGTTAATGTTTGGTTAATGTTAGCATGTCTGGTTAATGTTTGGTTAATGTTAGCATGTCTGGTTAATGTTAGCATGTCTGGTTAATGTTAGCATGTCTGATTAATGTTAGCATGTCTGGTTAATGTCTGGTTAATGTTAGCATGTCTGATTAATGTTAGCATGTCTAGTTAATGTCTGGTTAATGTTAGCATGTTTGGTTAATGTTAGCATGTCTGGTTAATGTTAGCATTTTTGGTTAATGTTAGCATGTCTGGTTAATGTTAGCATGTCTGGTTAATGTTAGCATGTCTGATTAATGTTAGCATGTCTGGTTAATGTCTGGTTAATGTTAGCATGTCTGGTTAATGTTAGCATGTCTGATTAATGTTAGCATGTCTGGTTAATGTTTGGTTAATGTTAGCATGTCTGATTAATGTTAGCATGTCTGGTTAATGTTTGGTTAATGTTAGCATGTCTGGTTAATGTTTGGTTAATGTTAGCATGTCTGGTTAATGTTAGCATGTCTGGTTAATGTTAGCATGTCTGGTTAATGTTAATATAGTCGTCTGGTCGCCATGGAAACGTGTTGCTCCTGGACTCCAATCATCCGTGCCAGAACCGATGAGCCCAGAGTTTTGGTTCTCTCTGCGGTTCTACGGCGTCGGGTTCTTGTTCTGCTCGGAACCATGACTGACGCCGCAGTAATAAACAGCCGAGTCGCTCCGTTCGGACCTGCGCAGCACCAGCGACCCGTTAGCGGCGGCGGTCACTTTCTGTGGGTTGACGCCGTCGCCGTACCGGACAGCGGAGCCGTTAGCGGGGCTGAGGCTCAGCAGCAGCGTCGGCCCGCGGCCCGTCGCCTTCCGGTACCAGCTTAGGGTGGCCGGGTCTGCCGAGTCGCCGGTTCCGTTGGAGCCGTCCAGCAGGGGGCAGTGCAGCGTGGCATCCTCCCCGAGTCCCACCAGGACGGCGGGCAGGGAGGCGACCCGGAAACCTGAAGAACAGAAACACTGAGGCTGATTCACTGCTGAACAAACTGACCACAAATAAAAACAGAAAACACCATATATGAGACATAATCAAGATAAAAACATAAAAAAATACAACAGAGAAAAGATCCAGTTACAAAAGTGAAAGAAATGAAGTTTTTAACAAAATGTTAAACTATAGAGAAATAAAAAAACAAATAAAAATGATATAAAATGAATGATTATCAAAAAATTTAATCGGAAAACATGTGAGAAAGAATTAAGATAAAAAAAGAAAAATAAAGAACATTAGATAATTTCTTTCCTTATGAGGCTAAATAAATAAAAAGTATTGTGTTCGTTTTTTATCAGAGGCAGCAAGTAAAGGTTGAACAAATTTTCAAACAGAAGAAAATAAAAGAGAACATTTGTTAGTCTGACATGCATTATATTATTATTTGACTAACTCCTCTTTACATTTCAGTCTTGCTAAATTAACTTACTTATTATTAAAGCTGGCAGTAATAATTAGTAACTTAGTAACTTGTGCTACAAACTGTCAGATATTCAAAAACATTTTTTCTTTTTTGTTATTGGTCCATAAAGATTCTGTGTGAAAAACTATAATATTTTAAAGTTTTCTATTGAGAGCTTCTGCACTGAAATAACAACAATAAATAAGAATAATCTGAGTGGATTGAAGTGGGACTCACCGCTGAGAGCGAGGAGGAAGACGACGACCTGCAGACGCCTCATCTTCATCGGACTGAGAGAGGAAGCCGATGCGTTTCCTTATGAACAGCAGATGTTTACATGAAACTGCTGACCATTATTATCCAGCTGCTGTTTTCAGACAAACTTTGCTCAGGATTTCCTGATGTTTACTGTTTTACTGAAACACCTGTTTAAACTGCAGTTAATTTAATCACCAAACGAGGAAAAGTCATCAACTAAACTGATTCACGTTAATTTGAAGAGAATTATGAAAATATTTTTGCTTCTGGCATTTAGCAAATAAAAATAATTCTAACAAAAAATAAATGTTTATCTAATTTAACTTCAAACAGAGAGAAAAGTTTGACCGCTGATACTTTCAAGGATTTCAATCAACCTGAACCTGAAAATGTAACATTAAAACCTTAAAGGACTTCTGGCATTTTAATTCACAAATATCTGAAAAGCTTTTTTCCAATAAATTTTTATGACTTTATAATCTGAGAACATCTTAGTTTTAATATTGAAGATTTATAAACAAGCATAAAAATAGTTTTTCTTTGCAAACAAACAACATAAAATAATATGGAGGTTTTTCCTTTTAAATTTGAAATAAAACTTGAAATTTCAGCTCCGTCTTGATGTTTTAGACACTGTAAGCAGGAAGTTGCATCAGATTCAGAGTTTTAATGTTGAACATTTAAAACACTTGGTGATTAAAGAATCCAAACTTTCCTTTGTCCTTCCTGTATTTGTCCAGCAGAGGGCGCAATGCTGCCTTCATTACAGTTCATTTGCTCTTTGCTGTTGAAATAAAAAATCATATTTTAATGTTCTCATTTTAAACTGAATCAGAGTAAAGAAGGCTGAATCTGTTCTAAATGAACCTTTTTACTTTTATAAATATGGAAAATATGAAATGCAACAGAAATATTTCCTCCATCTTAAGTGAGGAAATTAGTTAACTCTTCAATTATGCTTTACTTTTATATCGGTCTGTCACATCTCATGAATTTAACATTATGGATGTAACTTTCCTTTCCTATTCTGGCCCTAATATCCCATTGTGTTTTTATACTTATTGACGTAACTACTGTGGTCACTTTAGTTTTCCCACATATGTGACACTGGTCTGGTGTTTCCCGTGTGTCTCAGGTGACCTTGCAGGAGAACGGTTTCTATCCTGTGTGAGTCCTGCTGTCATTCTGTTATACTCAATACACCGTCTACCTGAGTGTGTGTGTGTGTGTGTGTGAGTGTGTGTGTGTGTAGGTGTGTGTGTGTGTGTAGGTGTGTGTGTGTGTGTGTGTGTGTGTGTGTGTGTGTGTGTGTGTGTGTGTGTGTGTGTGTGTGTGTGTGTGTGTGACAGGTTAAACTGCGTCTGAAGGATTTCTCATGCAGGTTACAGCTGCAGGGTTTCCCTCCTGTATGAGTTCTCGTGTGATTTAAGTTTCTGAAACTCTTCCCAGTTTTTGCCTTGACAAGTTTTGGGTTTTGAATCTCACCTGATCATGGAGTCGCCTGGTTTCTGACGCCTCTTCACGGCTCCATCAGAGCCTTCCTGTTATCCCTCCTTAACATCCGCAGGTTGTGGAAGATTTGTTGGAGCAGCAGAGATAAATCATCCAACTGCAGATTCAACATTCTTCAGGAAAACAGATCATCAGCTGTTCACTCTTCAAACGATGGATGTTAATTGATCGCTCTCTGAAAAACTAAAACAAGGAAAATCAGATAAAAGGAAAAAACTCCTTCTGTGTTTTCCTGCTTCTCTGATCTGGAAACGATCAAAATTAAACATGAAAATAGTTTATAAGGAAATTAAATCATGTTGTTAGAGAGCAGCATTATTTTTGAAGAAAGAATATTGAATCTTCTGAGCCTTGAGATTCTTATTATTTTGTTTCCCAAACAGTAAAACTCTACAGTTCACCTTTGACCTCATCTGAACACAGAGAGCTTCCTGTTTGGACAGAGGAAATGGCTCTGAAAACATCAGATATCATTTTAATGTGTTTTAAATTCCCTGTTTGGGACTGGAAACAGTGTTTCGTGCTGATTGCTGCAGCCGTTATTATGAACTGAAAACATTTTACCAGGTTAGAAATGATAAACTGCTAATGAGACTAGAACCTTTTCATCAATACTGAGGAATTATTTACTTAAAACAAGCTGAAAAGCTGTTCATAAGTTAGTTTCGTGTTATTTGATGAGTAGTAAGATATTTGCACTTGAATCTAAAGCAAAATGATTTGATAAGATTTTGTGTTTTTGAGATGAATGAGACCTGTGGAGCGTTTGTCCCGCTGGGTCTCCGTCCGCTGGGTGTGGCAGTCAGACGGGTCAGCCTGGAACACGAGGCAGAAACAAGCTCCGCCTCCAGCACAGGAGCTCAACTTGGTGTGTGTGTGTGTGTGTGTAGGGGTGTGAGTGTGTGTGTGTGTAGGGGTGTGAGTGTGTGTGTGGGGTGTGTGTGTGTGTGTGTGTGTAGGGGTGAGTGTGTGTGTGTGTGTAGGGGTGTGTGTGTGTGTGTGTGTAGGGGTGAGTGTGTGTGTGTGTGTAGGGGTGTGAGTGTGTGTGTGTAGGGGTGAGTGTGTGTGTGTGTGTAGGGGTGTGTGTGTGTGTGTAGGGGTGAGTGTGTGTGTGTGTGTAGGGGTGTGAGTGTGTGTGTGTGTGTGTAGGGGTGTGTGTGTGTGTGTGTGTGTGTGTGTAGGGGTGTGTGTGTGTGTGTGTGTGTGTGTGTAGGGGTGAGTGTGTGTGTGTAGGGGTGAGTGTGTGTGTGTAGGGGTGAGTGTGTGTGTGGGGGTGTGTGTGTGTGTGTGTGTGTGGTGTGTGTAGGGGTGAGTGTGTGTGTGTGTGTGTAGGGGTGAGTGTGTGTGTGTGTGTGTGTGTGTGTGTGTGTGTAGGGGTGAGTGTGTGTGTGTGTGTGTGTGTGTGTGTGTGTGTGTGTGTGTGTGTGTAGGGTGAGTGTGTGTGTGTGTGTGTGTGTGTGTGTGTGTAGGGGTGAGTGTGTGTGTGTGTGTGTGTGTGTGTGTGCGTGTGTGTGTTCCAGCTGCAGTTCAGGACAGACTGAGCCCTGCAGCGTCTCGTCTCTAAGTTTCATTTCTGCTTCAGGAATGTTTTCAGTTGCAGAGTTCATGCAGGTTCACGGCCAGAAAGCTGGGAAACAGAAACAGAAAGTTTCAGTTTCACACTCACAAACTTTCTGTGTGTGTTTGGGTGTGTGTGTAGGTGTGTGTGTGTGTGTGAAGGTTTCTGCGTCCTCTGTGGGTCTGATAACGTTGAGGCGGAGGAGGAGGGTGGGGTTTGGGGAGTGGTGGCTGTGGGTGGAGGAAGGGGAGGCGTTTTCCTCCGGTCCAGTTCGCTCTGAAGGGAAACTCCAGCTCACTTCAACCTGACGAGTCTCAGGGAGCAGCAGCTGCTCTCCATCCTCTCCGCTGAGCATCATGGGCTCCAAAAACTCCAACAAGGTGCAGAAAGTGGTGATGGGTCTGCTGGTGCTGTGGTCCATCGCCTCCATCATCATCATCGTGGTGTGGGCCACGTCTCCGGACCTGAAGGGCTCGGCCCAGTGCCGCGCCGAGCTGCGGGAAGCGACGGAGAAGATGGAGGGCGCCAAGGTGGTGTTTGAAAAGGACAGGCGGGCGCTGGAGGAGAAGGCGGTGGAGGCGTGGAAGGATCAGGACCGGCTGAAGGCCCACATCCTGCTGCTGCAGCGAAGCCTCAACGCCACCAACGTCACGCTGGAGGAGTGCCGGCTGAAAAACGTGAGTTTGATGCTGGCAGGGATCCAAAACCTGGATTTACTTTCTTTATGCTAAAAAACAGTCGACATTTTTAGTTTCATCTGTAGTTCAGCATCCAGGGAAGGACATAGGAGATTGAGGGTTATGGTGCCCAACCCTTCATTTTATTTACTGATGCAGAGAAACAGGCTGACTGGGTAATAAAAATAAATCTGTTTTTTCTTTCTTTTTTAAGAAGTAAGCGAGAACGAGCCCATGCTAAAGAAAATAGAAAAATGTAATTACTAGAATAAAATAATAACGTTTCCAGAATAAACTTGAAATAATATAAAAATAAAGTCTTGAGATTACGACTACTCTTTAATCTTCTAATATTATTATTTTCATTCTATCACAACTTTATTCCTCCTTTATTTTGACTTATCTTAATATTATTTATTTTTATTTTCTTGCATGGCGCTAATATTTTGTCACATAAAAGAAATTATAAATTACAAAAAATATTTTCAAAATGTGTTTCTTGTTTCAGGATAACAGCTTTTGTTTGTTTGATATAAGAATAAAATAAGAATATCAGAAGAATAAAGACTTCTGTTTTTGTTCCACAAAATTTACCTTGTATGTTTAGATATAAACTTTTAGGTCGTGAAATCCAAATGAAAGATATGACACAAACAAAATATTTTATACTATTTATTCTTTCTTCCACAAGATCTGTCAAACAAGTGGTTAAAAGTGATTAATTAAATTGAATTAAATAAACTGTTTTACTCCTCAAACATGCAGAATGTTTTTCTTCTCATCCAAAATAAACAATCAGCTTCTACATTTTGTTGATTTTTAATAACAGTGTTTCAGATTTTCCTGATGCAAAGTTTTGAATGATTTAACCTCATAGAAAAGCTTCAAGGTTTTCTGATCATTTCCTCAGTTTAACGTCACGGCCTAAAAAGGTGGGACCAAACACACGACCCTGAGGCGCTCCGGTCAGGAATTGACTCCTAAAACAGTAAAATTAACTATAATTTCACTGAAACGATCAAAGCTGAGAGCATCTGGGCTTCACAGAGTTTTCCCTTGACGCTATAAAAACCACTTCCTGTCTACTCAGCATTATCTTTAACGTGCAAATCATGTTGCAACTGGCTTCACGGTTGGTTTTTGGAGATAAATTTGATAAAATGCCAAAGTGTTTTATGCTTTGATGTATCTGAACTTGATAAAAATGATCTGGTTTTTACCAGGTTCTAATGTCATTCACATCCTTCCTGAAGTGATCAGTAAACTTCACAAATGACTCTGAAGGTTGTCGGTGCGAGTCCTTTATAAAAGGACAGACATCAGAGAAGCAATAGTTGCTGCCCATAAATCTGGGAAGGGTCATAAAACTGTTTCCAAACTATTTGTCGCTGATCCTCCAGCAGAGAGAAACATGGAAACAGCAGCGAGACGCTTCGCTCTAATAACAACATGGCAGCACGACTCACATCTGTGAAGCTAAACAAAGTAACGACATTTGGTCAGAAAACCAGTGGCAGCCATCTGACCTGGAAACGCCGCAGTTTGGAGGAAATCCTCTGTATACCAGAGTACAAGCTAACGCCAAACTGGGTCATCACTACGTTTCTGTCCAACTGTCCAAATAGAGAATTTTGAGAAAACTTTTATTTAAAAGTCGCGAAAAAGGAAAAAGGAAAGCAGAGTTTCTTTCCATCGACTGGTCTGGAGAAAATCAACGCAAAGCGAGATGTTGGCGCTGAAAGTTTGGGGTTTGAAGACAGAGGTTTAGAGTTTGTTCTGTAAACATGTTTCCCCTTCAGTTCACTAACTTTTTTTTTTCTTCTGAAAAACCACCTGAAGTGGATCGAAAAACTTATTTTCCAAAATTGAGAACATTGTTTTGAATTTTGCCGTTTCCATCAACCTTTTTGGAAACGGGTATAAAAACACAAACACAGCAACAAATCCAATGGCCTAGACAAAGTCCAGGCCTCCAGTTGTTGAGCCCTCGAGAGACTTGTTCATACAAAAACCTCAACAAACCAAAGCACTGAAGAGACCAGAGGGCCTGACCTTTGACCTTTGGAGCAAAATGTGTTTCTGCCCACCATTTCACAAACAGGGTTTGTATTTTGGCTTCGTTCCTGAAATAGGGTGTACTTTCTTTTCAGCATAGATGTTATTTGTTTCCGTGGCTTTAAAATGGTCTGTTGTTGAGCAGCAACCTTTCCGTCTGCTGCAGTGGAGTCCCGCAGGGCACACTGTTCGAAACATTTCATTTGGAGGCAGATATTTCTTCTTCGTTCAGATTTCAGAACAAATAATTGACAAAGGAGAAACTATTCAGCTTTGGTTTGGATGGGAAGAGATTTCTCTCAGTGCCTGAACGGCGTTGATTTGTGACGCCGCGAGAGACAAACGAATGTTGAAATGAAACCGTCAGCTGAATATGCGACCGGTGGTTTGAATTAAACAACCGATTTGCTGCCAGTTCATCTCTTTTCTGAGCCTAACTTCTGAAATGAAAGCCATTCTCCTGTAGAAGCAGATGAGCATAAATCAGGTTATTCAGAAACAGAAAGTGGATTCAGCAGCTCTCTCCGTGCTTCAGAAACCTCCTCCCTCCATCTTCCCTCCAGTCCTGGGACTGGGAGAAGGTTTCCCCTCCCAGCCGTCCCACAGTTTCGCTGCTTCCAGCTTCATTTTCTCTGAAGAGCCGGCTGGAAAAAGTGACTGTTGCCTCCTGCTTTTGTGGTTTGTCGTGACTCACTCCTCCTCTTCCTGCTTTTCTTCACCTCTGCTCCACTGCTTCCTTACTTTTTCCCTCTCAAACTTCTCTGACTGTCTAGTCAAATATTTCAGGATTTAGAAACCTCAGGCTCGCTGCCAGCACTGCTGCGGATTCTGGCTGCTGAACATGAATGTTTTCGAAGCAGAATGCATCGGATTAATAAAAACGCGTTTTAGAAAAACGCCATTGCGTAATGTTTAGTTTTTGGCACTTCAGCACAAAATATTCTGGATGTTTGTGCGGTTCAGAGGTCGCTGGCATTCCTGGAGGAATCGGCATCTGAAGAACCTAAAAATGCTTTGCTAGCGTTTTCAAAACATCCTTTTTTGGATCAGAAAAGTATAAAAGTATTTGCCTCTTGCAGATTTGTCTCTCCTTGCCAAATTTAAACACAAAGATAAGCTGAAGAAACAACTCAGGTTTCAACTGATGATTTCATTCATTAACATTTTCATCCAAACCAACAAACATAAATGACCAAATCAAACACCAATGTCCGTTTTGCACTTTGGGAAAATATGTTGTGAACTGATGAGACAAAACAGACATGCTTTGGAGGCTCTGCAATCTGGGGTAAAACTAACAACATTTCAGAAACAGAACAGAACAGTGGTGGTCGAATGATGATCTGAATGAAAATCAACTGTTTAGTCATCAGGTGCAACTAAAACCCCAAATTAACTTTCTGTGGTGGATAAACTATATAAATTAGTCCTTAAATGTGCTGTGACATTTTTATACAAATTTGTGTAAATGTTCTTGTCATGTTTAACTTTTGCAGGTATAAAAACGCAGCAAACTCCAAAATACACAAACACAAAAAATGCAAGGAAAGAAAATGGCAAACAAAACATCCAGTAGATGCTGAAACCTGCAATCGACAAAACAGATGCAAGAAAAAATGCTGCAGTCACAGGAAACAGAAGCAAAAGGGAAAATTACGCAATTAAAAAGTCTAAAATGATGCAAGCACTTTATGTAGCTGATAGGCACCCTCTGCTGGTCTGGAGGACTTCAAATGTGGAGCATTTTCATATTTGCAGCATTTCCCCTTTTGCTTCTCAGGTTGCAGATTTGTGTCTTTGGTTGCAGCATTTTCACTTGCGTTTCTTTTGTTTATTTAATTTTTTTGCTGCTATTTTCTCAGACTGCAGTGATTTCCTGTTGCATTTGTTTTTGCTGTTTGCTGCGTATTTTTGCCGGTCGGGCGTCGCGCTTTTAACCACATCCTCTGTGTCCTTCCTGTCAACGTTATAATGAAGGATGTTGCAGCAAAAAGCACAGAGACACATCAGCACCGTTTGTTGCATTTAAAAATTCTATTATTCTGTTTCTATCACAAGTTTTGGTACAAGTGAGCCAACAACTCAACAGGAAAGGAAAAACTCAACGACACGCGCGCCAACATGTTCAGCCGCACCAAGAATGGCGTCCTGAAGCTCTGGGCTGAGATTTATTTCTATTAATCATATCATTTAACGATAATAAGAACACGCAATTATAATAATAACATGGTTATTATTGGAAAATGACTCATTAAAACATGCAGGACTGATTTACAGTGGAAAAGCTTGGAGTGGCTTTAATTCATTCCCCTACAAGTTTTCTGTCTTCTATGTGAAACACTGACTTTAAATCTTATATTGAGTTTTTGTTGAGTTTTCTCATGCAGATATGTCCATCATGGCAGCTAAATGGAGAAATAATCAATAGACTTTGATTAATATTTTAAATTTCTGGCCCCAGAAAACATAAGAAACAAACAGGAAGAGATTTAAAACTGGATATTTGAAATAAAGCTCATGCATGTTCTGAAAAATCAGAGCAAAGCTCCTGTTGAATTAAATTAAAATAAAATAGTGCCAGATTTTTAATGCAGAAGTTTGAAACTCATTTCTGCCATGAAAAGGAAAATACAAGCCCAATGGAAATTTATAATTCTGAGTTTTAATAACAGCAAAAAGTCCTGATCTGTTATCTGTTTCTCTAAGCTGCTTACTTCAAAATCTCATAATTTGAAATTCTAACTATCTTACAATTATGACTTTCTATCTCATAATTGTTGCTCTGTGTCTCCAAATTATGGCATTAAAAATCATAATTATGAATTTAAGTTGCATAACCATGACCTCCTGCTGGGCTTTAATTTTTCTTTCTTGGCAGAAATGGCCTTCCATAGAGGCTTTAGGAGTTTTCATGCTGCGTTTTCTTGGTGATTCCTGCAGCAGCTGGTGGGACGGGAGTTACGCTGCATCGTTTCAAAGTTTTCCTTCGCTGCTTTCTGTGGCTGAAACCGCGACTGAGCAGTAACCAAACAGTAAGACGCTGGTGGGTTTTGCATCGTGACTCCTCAGATACAGAAGCATGAATTAGTTTAACATGCAGCAGGAAGTGTAGATTAATGTGAATCTGCTCTGATTTATTTTCTGTTTTTTCTTGAATGTTCAGGAAAGCCCCAGAAACAGCAGAGTCAGTTTTCTCCTTCCTGTCATCACGATCGAGCCTTTTATCGTTTTATTAAACGCTTTGCTGCCTTCTCGGCCCTGAGGAGAAATGTGACCCACTGCCGGTGCTGTCACTTCTTCCTCTTCCTCTTTGTGCTCTCGGTTGTGAAATATTTAGACTGAGTGAGATACTTGGAGCCGCGGTGTGATCTGCAGAGGAAGAGGAATCAGTCTTTATAATGATCAGCAGCTGCTGCTTCGCGCTGGATGTTTCCCCGTCCAGTCGGGTCTTTGTGCTCCATAAGGTCATCTCTTCCCCAACGTCTCCAAAAATATTATTTAATATTAGCGTTTTGAATTGGGTCAGTGCATCTATTAGAGCTGAGCAGAAACCACAGGAAGAACCCCACCTTGGGTTTGTTAACAGCCACTGAGAACGAAGTGCAGCTTCCTCTGCTTCACTTCCTGCTCAGCTTCTCTGAGAAGCAGAGGCATGAAGGATGTGAGGTATTTCTTTATCTGCATGCCATCAGGTTGTTCTTCAAGTAAAACTGCGCAAACCTGAAGCTTTTACAGCAAATTAAGAAACTTTTAAAGAGCAATTGAGCCAGTTTTTGTTCCAAACACAATCTGTGGAGAACGTTCATTAGTTTATTAGAGAAACAGTTCAGGATGTTTTAAAATGGGGTTATGTGGATCCATTCTAAGCAGCCAGTATCTTACCTAAATTAAGAAACAATAACTGCATTACATTTTTCCATATAATTGTGCAATTTGGCATTTTGACAATAAACGTGTTTTTAAAAAATGCATTTTAAAAAAGTCACATTTTTTGATAAAAAGTTTTGGCTCTAGAATGAGGTGGTGTTTTATTGGTTTATTTTGCAAAACTACAGTGGAAACATTTTGCATCACACGAGTCATGATCAACAACCGGATATTACTACTGGCAGAAACCATGAAGAAGAAAACAGGAAGTAGTTGGAGCTTCATGGCGTGGCATCACTTTTAATAACTTTTCACGTGAACAAACTTATTTACATTCTGTTTCACATTTAAGGAATAAACACAATTGCAATTTTTTATTTATCTTTCTGACAAAATCATTTGTAATGGAAACGCAGCCAGTCAAAGTGATGTGATTGAGAGAAACTGGTCCCAGTGTTTAACTGGTGTTACCTTCAGGAAACACCAAACCAAAAAACTGGTTTCATCTTTACTGATGATTTTTGACTAGTTCAGGTTGGGGACTGCGGATGCTTTAGATCCTCTATAACTGCATACTTTTAAAAGTTCAAACATCAAAAGTTAATATGCATCGATGCGCACGTTGGAAACCGTCGGAGCGCTAACTCAGAAGCTAACATCCAAAGGAAAATCAATGGCAATGTCAGCTTCAAAATCGGCTTTTTCTGTCAAATGGTTCAGATTTTCTAAAATTTTTTGCGGAATAGTTTTGTTACTTTCGCTGAAAAACTGGAATAGAAAACAGGAAGAGGCCAAAGTTGCTGTTTACGTGACATGGTGAAGGTTTTTTTTATTTTTACTAATATTCCAGTTGTTTTCTCCTGTTTTCTAGCTGCACTGAGGTTCCCAATTGTTTGTCAGTTTTCTGAATCCATCTAAATTCCCTCCAAAACACATCGATGTTAACTCTGCTGCTGTGAAAATGTAGGAAAAGACAAGGCAACAAAGGCTGCTTTCTCCCCTCCAGGCTCCCTGTAACGTGTTTTTCCCTCTGTGGGTGTTTGTTTCGTCCTGCAGGTCGTCCTGGCCGAGAACGTCACGGCTCTGCAGGACGACGTCAGGCTGCTGCAGCACAGGGAGGCCAACCTCACGGAGCAGCTCGGCCTGCAGGAAGGTAAAACCCTGTCGGAAAAACGGCATCGCTGCCATGAAAGGAGACTTTCTCCACTGGTATTCTTAGACGCGTTTCCCGCCCCCCGTTACCATACCGACCGGTGAGTCAGAGTAAATAAATACGACCCGATGGAAAAGCTTAACGAGGAGCAAGTTAAGCAGCGAGGCTCTTCTTGAGCCATGTAATCAAAACATAAAATGAATCGGTCTGCTAAAAATATAAACCGGAGGCTCTGATGGTTCATGTTTTCTGAGTTTTACATGAAAGGAGAAAATATGTATTTAAAGTCGGAGGAAAAAGCGACTCGTCGTTTACCAGGCATTACTTGTCCAACTCCAGCAATTTAACCCCCAATGACTGAGTCAAATACTTTTAATAAGCCTTATTAATAAGAAAAATACAACATATTTCTCTGCATGTTTGGAGTTGCCCAAGTGAGGGAACCAGAGCAGAGCCATTTGGTTTGGGAACCTCAGGGTTAAACGTTTATTTTAAGAAGATGTTGTGGTTCTGTTGGTGTCTTCGCACCATGACCTTCGGCAAACGCAGGAGCGCTTCACTGCCAGGACGATACTCAGCCTCTCTGAGCTGCGGTTCTGGTTAGGAAGAGGAGGGAACAGTTCAGCCCGGTTGGGAACAGAACCTCTTCTTCCACAAAATACCTACCAAACAAAAGCTGCTCTTATGCACGATGGGGTCGGTGCTAGTAGTGGAAATCAGTGGGGTCGGTGCTGGTAGTGGAAATCAGTCGGGTCGGTGCTGGTAGTGGAAATCAGTCGGGTCAGTACTGGTAGTGGAAATCTCAGAATAGATATCCAACATCTGTTTCCAGGTTCTTCATCAGTCAAACTTTTTGTTGAGTAAAACTTGGTCCAAAGCTCAACCAGAGTTTGTCGAAAAGCACAGGGAGAAACTCCATGATCTTTGGTCTGACGAGACCAAAATGGAGTTTTCTGGTCATCAGAAAGACGCTATGCTCGGCCAAAACCAGAGGTGGGAACCACTAACTAAAACATTCTTTACCCAAACTGTAATGCAAGACTCAAACACTGTAAAATAAATGCTGCAAAACATAAAGAAATCCCAGAGGACCAGAGACTTAGAGTTTCAGAGAGATTTCACTCTGAAGCAACTGGAAGCATCCAGGTAAGATGGAAGGCAACATGGTGGAGGTTCTGAGGTGGCCCAGTCAAAACCTACCACCATACGTGTGAACAGTGTCTGGATGTCGCTGCAGGTGTCTGGGTCAAACCAGCAGCAGCTATGGAAGTGGTTCCCGGCTCGGCCAGCTGAACCCGGTCAGCGCCGCGGAATGTGGGTTTTCCTGGGATTCAGTCATCATTACAAAAACCTGCGAAGGGCTCGGAGGGAGCGGCCCAGCACCGCGGTGCCACATGTCGCACAATCCAAAGTGGGCTTTCATGTCGCTGACCCGCCCTTCTTTCCAGGCTCCCTTCATTTTCTCCTCTGCCTTCTGAGGAAACTTCCAAAGAAAACAATCCAGCTTCACCAGCCAAACCTGACTCTGCTTTCCTGAAATTGTTGCCTTATCTACATTTAGTGGAGGCTGTGAGCTGACCGTCATGGCCTCCTGATGGTCAGCTACGCTGCTGTAGCGGCAGGACGCTAATGGGAGTGAAAATGAGCTTTTTTATTTGTTGCATCGTTAATGAAATGTCACATTTTCAGTTTTGCAGGTGGTTTCTTCCGTGACTTTATGGTGGATGCAGAACATTTATCAATTCAGCCGAAATGGAGTAAATAAATGTTTGTCTTCTGTTAGATGATTTCTTTCCTTGTCTGACCAAAGTCCTGCAGCAGCAGCAAAGGATTTTTTGTGAACAATTGTTCATGAAGGGGGCCTCCGGCCTGCAGTGTTTGGAGGAAGTGATAAATTCCTGCACAGTGGAGATATGAAAGGAGCATTGTGTTTGGTACTTTAACAGAAATTAATCTCTGCTTTATGTGGAAGAAACGAGTCATATGCATTGAAACATACACCTGCTATGGATCAAAAAACATCCTGAAAAGTCAGATTAGCTTCACACCCAGAATAAAAACACAAAGTATGACCTGGTCCAGCTGGTTCTGAACCAGATCAGTCGGTCAGAACTCAGGAACTTCATGACCTCATCAAAACAAGCCAAAGGAGTGGAAACATGAACACTGGCAGGATGCATCATTCCTGACATACCTGCTGATTACACCAGATCCAACACCAGGTCCAACACCAGATCCAACACCAGATCCAACACCAGGTCCAACACCAGATCCAACACCGGATCCAACACCAGATCCAACACCGGATCCAACACCAGATCCAACACCGGATCCAACATCAGATCCAACACCGGATCCAACACCGGATCCAACACCAGATCCAACACCAGATCCAACACCAGATCCAACACCAGATCCAACACCGGATCCAACACCAGGTCCAACACCAGATCCAACACCAGGTCCAACACCAGATCCAACACCAGATCCAACACCGGATCCAACACCAGATCCAACATCAGATCCAACACCAGATCCAACACCGGATCCAACACCAGGTCCAACACCAGATCCAACACCAGATCCAACACCTGATCCAACACCGGATCCAACACCAGGTCCAACACCAGATCCAACACCAGATCCAACACCTGATCCAACACCAGATCCAACACCAGGTCCAACACCAGATCCAACACCAGATCCAACACCAGATCCAACACCGGATCCAACACCGGATCCAACACCGGATCCAGCTGAAACAGCAGCAGCGGAGCATGAAAACAGATCCAGGTTCAGTTAGTCCCTGTGTTTATAACTCCTGTTTAATTCTCTATCCTGACCTGTCTGACATATTGTAACAAAAACAAGAAAAACCAAGTTTCTACCAACATCTACACCAAGAACCACTGAAGGAAACAACGCTACTGAAGACACTGAGCGCAACGTCCTTCATCAAACGTAAATAAATGGAGTGCTGGCAGATTTTAGTGGTTGTTGCATTTCTTTCGCCATTTTTCCTGCTCGCAATAAACTTGCACATTCATTTGCATTTACCCAAAATGCCGTGCGTTATAGTCTACTTGGCTTTCACATATGCATTCAAAGAATTCACTGCACCTGAGCTAAGAATAGGTCTGTAGGTGGATCATCATCTTCCACTTCTCAGAGATTGGATTCCAACATCCTCCAGCTGGTTCTGTGGGATCCCATGTCCTACCTGGTTCTGGGCCAGACAGGACAGTCTTTCTGGGTCTTCCCAGGAGTCTCCTCCCAGTGGGACAAACCCAGAAAACCTCCAAAGAGAGGAGCCCAGATCTGCTCAGATCTCCCTCAATGCCGATGCAGCATCTCTGCTTTGAGCCCCATCACTGAGGTGGAGTCCAGCCCCCATGGAGAAAGTTCAGATCAGCTGCTTATCTCTGGGGAGATGGGAGACAGTCAGGGGCTTTGGTATGACAATGAGATATTTCTTGGCTTTTCTGTGTCACTTTTTGCTGGCATCCAAAACCAACATGGCAGAACTGGAGTTTAGTCATTGATCCTGCTGGTGTGTTTGTATGTTCCTGGTATTAACTGGCTCTTTTCTGTGCATCCTCAGAGCGCATCGAGGCCTTGCAGCACAACCTGACGCAGGCTTTCCATCAGACCGAGTCCTGCTTCAGCCTGAAGACGGCAGCTGAGAGCCAGATGGCAGCAGCTCAGAGTCAGACCAAAGCCTGTGAATCCAAGCAGCAGTACCTGGAGAAGCAGCTGTGAGTCCATCCTGCTGGTCTCAGTGTTGTCTGTAGTCAAGGTTTTCGTTCTGATTCGGTTTGTGTTTCAACAGTCAGAAGTGTAAAGCTTCTGAATCAGAAGCTCCTGAGGTGAAACAAGAAGGCTCCTCTGCCTCATCGTCTCCCAGCTCCGCTGCCGCGCCCCTTGCTGGTATTCCCGCGCTGACGCTACTCATCTGTGCTGCTCTGCATCTCATAACCTGTGAGTACCAACAGCTCCTCTGACAATCACTCACACACGATGCCAAATCATCTCTGCTGTAACAGAGTGGGCGACGCCTGGATCTCTTCAGGATGTCGGCTAAACATGAACTACAGGAAAGTGGAATTGACAGAAAGTAGGGAAGTAAAAGCTGAATTTAATGTTTGAATTTACTGATATAACAGCTACATACCAACTTTTGTCAGATTAGTTTCAATTTACATGAGATTAAAAGAGTGGAAGAGTCACAGCATCACCTGCTGGCTGCATGTTGTTACTGCACTCATAAAGAAAACCTCCCTAAGATCAACCTGAAGCTCAGCTATTTGTTCCTGTTTTCTATTAGCACTAGAAAACAGCTTTTATTGGTATATTCATGAAGGTTGTGCCAGTGTTCCTGGTGTTTGTTGATTTGTTAGCTCCTGTTTCCTGTTGTTTTGAAAACTGAACACAAATTCTGTAGACCGAAGATCTTGTGAAGAAAGTTTGACCTCATGTCCAAAACGTGAATTTGCAAGCAGCTTTTTCTGTTTAGGTTTTAACTTTCCACCATGCTGGAAAAATTCCCAGATTATTGGAAGACGTTTCTGTTGGAGAAGTTTCTATGTGACAATGGTTCATTAATGGTAGCGACCACATTTTCAATCAATAGGAGATTTATCAAAGAAAGTAACGTTTCAACCATTCTCAGTTTTTCTTGGACAGAAAGTTACATAACTATATAAAATATTGAGCTTCTCTTTGGTTGGATTCAAATTTAAATCTAATATTATTATTATTGTGAACATGCAGATTTCCAGCATCTGTTCTTCAAGACAAAGTTTAATTTCTTCCATAAATAAGAAATTAATGAAAGCCGTTAACTGGAACTGTTTGGGTTTTGTCCAGGAGTCCAGAGCGGGTCAAACCCACGGCAAGCACAGCGGTCCAGGAGGTTCTGGACCAACATGACTGCTGTACAAACCTCCTGTCTGCACAACGGGTTCGCCCTGGAGACGCTGTCATACGATGGACGCTTGGATAGACTTTTATGCTTTTCATTTGCTTTCATCTCTGGATCTGAACCAAGCTTCGCTCCTCTTCCCCCAGCAGCGCCTGGGTCCAGATCAAGACGTCAGAACTTATCCACGCCAGCGTTTATTTTCTGTAAGGCTTCAATCCGGCTGAGACGGAGGAAAGGGATTTACTGCTGTCGCCACTAAATGTCTGTGTGCTTCGTTTTAATGCCACAATTACTGCTTGAAACCTTTTGTCTCAACTTTTAGATGTTATCAAATTCTGGTTGAAATTACGGCTCAGGGTGGGATGTACTCATTTCAAAAATAAACCTGGGCACTTTCTACGTACGTCTGTTTTCTTAGTCAACTTAAAAGCTGGCAGCATGATGTAAACAGATCCATGTCACAGCACAGAAGATGGCAGCGATTCAGGTGTCGAAGTAGAAAAGATGTTTCTTATCCAAAATCTTGCACAACCACTTTTAGCAACAATAACTAAAGTCAATAAAAGTAAGGAAGCATTTGTGGTTTAAAAGTAGTTTGTTAACTTTATATCAGATACCTTAAAAACTGTTAGCTTAAAAACAAACAAGCATGAAAAGTTTTTTTAAAGTTTATTGTTTGGTTTGTACAGCATTTCTCTGAGCTCTATGCACACTGCAGGACACTGAAGTCACACAGCGTCCCTCTGGGACATCCGCAGAGCTTCCCGATCCTCGCTCCCTTGCGCACCGCACACTGCTCACCGGCGTCGCACTGGCAGCCAAACAAACACAAAACACACACGTCAAACACGACCCACCAAATTACATCATTATAAATGACACAATAATAAATGTAGTTATTAACATCTGACAAGTTCTCAGTGAGCAGGAAACATGAACCCTGCAGGCGGTGTGAGAGACGCATCAAATGTTGCATGTTTTTTGTCTCTCCTGGCATTCCATACCTGCACAGGACAAACAATGCTTAGAAACAGTCTCACTGCGCGCTCAGATTCAGGTTTTGAGCAACAATAGAGCTCAGAAAAGTGACCGACTTTAGTCTCACTGGAGAAGTGCTGTGTTAGGCAGCCGGAGGCGGTGAGGCAGGTGAGGCGGAGCTTACAGGTGGAAGCCAGCCGAGCTTCTTCTCCGACGATGGCAGCTGTTTGTTCTTCAGCTTCTCCAGGACTTCCTGCAAAGCTTCGATCTGAGGACGGACAGACGCTCTTATTGATAACGTCTTCTGATGATACAGCAGGAATAAGATCAACTAAAATACATTCTGTTCTTTTGAAATGTCTCTTACAGCCCAGCCTGTAGACCTGACTGATCCAACACAAAACACTAATTTAACAACAAAAACTATTTTAATAACTTTGCTTATAAAATAACAGATGATCAATAAGTTATTGATCCATTAGGAATAATAAACATTCATAACATTGAAAAGATCCAAACAAATCTTGCTAAAGAAAATGACATTCCTGTTCAAATTAAGAAAGTTACAAACCGGCTCTCTAAAAATTGTTTCCATTAAGTTTTATGATGGAAACAAGTTTGGTAATTTGAACTAATCTAAAATAATAGAAGTTTAGTCTCATTGACTTCAGGCAGAGAAATAATACACCGTCTATGGAAACATCTGGTTTTAACTGTAAATGTTTGTTTGTTTTTAATTTAGGCTCTTAATGAAACATTAAATTGAACTTTATGCTTGATGTGGACTCACCAGCTCCTTCTCCTCTTCGGTCTTGATGATGTCATACTCGGGCGATCGCTCCTCTAGCCGCTCGTCGCAGGAGCCCAGCGCCACCAGCAGCCAGCAGGAGGCGCTGAGCAGCAGCATGCTGGCGCTGACCATAGTACTGACCGATTCAGACGCGGTGGAAGCTGAAGGCTCTGAGGTCGGCGGAGCTGCGGCGGCCTGCTGGACGCCGAGGCTCCGTCCGCAGCGTTTATACCCAGCAGGAGCGGCTCTGCCGTCACTACGGCAATATTTACCCCGTAACCAGGCAATCAGACGGCTCACCTCAGGGGTCAGCGGAGGTCAAGAGCTCTGCTCCATCAAACAGGAAGTGACGCGACCATTTTCACCTTTTGACCAACATGAGATGTTTTCTGTGACGCTGCGATTCGTTTGAAAACGGGAGTCTGTTGGTCCAAACTGGTTTCCTGCCCAACAAAAAGCTCCTGGTTTAACTGGAGGCAGCTGGACTTGTCCTGTTGGACAATCCCTCTGTCTTCCTTCAAACACTTAATGTCTTGGAAGACGGAGACTTACGGAGGACCGATCCTGCCAAAAGTAGTGGGAAAATAAATAACTGGCTTTATAAAGTACTCAATGTGCAAATATTGAATTAAAAAGTAAGAACTTTCCCAACTTATTTGATTAAACTATGTAAAATTAATATTCAGCAGTATTAATGTTGCATCACAAAATTTTCCACTTTATTTTGAGACAAAATAAAAAGTGAAAGTAAATAAGAAAATCTTAAATACAAAATGTGTATTGAAATAAAAATGAAAGTAATAAAAATAATAAGTTTAAGTGATGCTAAAATAATACTTCTGAAAATATCAATTTAAAGCGTAATGTTTAATTACACTTTAAATGAGGGTCGTTCTAAATTTAAAAAAAGAAGAGTAAATTTCGCCAAAAAATTCTAAAATTTTGATTATTAAATTCTTACATTTTTAAGGAAAAAACCTGGAAATTTGAGACTGAAAAGTTAAAAATTCACCAGAAAAAAGTCAGAAATTTATCTCAGAATACTTCTGAACAAACAAGGACATTTGTGAGTTTGATAAGTTGAAAAATTTCTAAAAATGAACCAAATACAAAAAAATAACATTTTGAAAATAATCTTTAAAAAAAAACACTCCAAGTCGTGTTTTTTATGATTTTCTAGTGGAATTTGTTTTCTCTCCACAATGGCCCTAATATGTTGCAGTAATTTGCTTTGTGCATTTGCCATTTTGTTTGTTATTATACTATCTTACTGTTCGACTTTCTTATTGTCTAATCAAATAAGTTGGGAAAGTCATTACTTGTTATATTTGTATAAAACATTTGGCACATTATTGTGTTTATTGAGGCTTTTTGCTCTACATTTATTACTTTTGGCAGGATTAGCCCTCCATAGACACTCATGTCTCAGAGGTCTAATAAAATCTCAGACAGAATCCTTTTCTCCTCAGTGGATCTCAGACATCAAAGTTCAACGGATTTTAACACCTATTTTCCTATAATTTAAGACTTTCAGGTGAAATTTGAATAATTTTTTGGAGATTATGTCATAAAATTAAGATGAAAACATTTCATACTGTGCGACGTGGATAAAATTAGCAGATCTGATCGGAGCCGTAAATCCTTTACCATGTGAAAAATGGAGATGAAGCTCATGGAATCAAAAATCAGACGTATTTGAAGCGTCTCTTTAACCGGAGCAGCTGGCAGGAAGAGCCGCAGCTCCGCAGGATCCGTCTGTGTCACCGTTTACGTCAAAGCAGCCAAAGTCGGTCAACACGCCTATGTGGACTCCTCCTGTCCACCGGCAGCTCAACCCAGACAAGCAACGTCGTTATCGTCTTTCTTTAATACCAAAATACTTCAGATTTATCAAACATCTCATTTTCTGCTACAACATCCAGTTTTTAACACACACAGACTCAGAAAACAACCACATATTATTTTAATAACTCTGAACAAAATTCCCTTTTTCAAGTCAAACATGAACAAAAATATATATTTTCACTGATAAAAAATAAAGAGATAATAGAAAAAAGCAAAAGCAAACTGCAGCTTTTTGTTCTCTACTATGAAAAAAGGAAAATCTTCCTGTGGAGTCAATATTTCTGAAGCAGCTTCTGCTCTATTAGAGGTTCTGGTTTGATCCATTTACCTTATCAAGAGAGAAAAGAGCAGGAAGCCACAGACAGAATCAAGTTACCTTTCAAAATAAAATAGATCATATCTTAGCTCATCCTTTGGAGAAAATCCACCCAGAAATAGGAGTCATTTGCAATCCAGTTTGGGAGGAAGTGATCTACCAAAAATCAGATTCAGCTTTCAACTGGAGCCAAATCCAGTCAAACAGTATTTTCTTCCATTTCTGGATTAATCCAAACTCAGCTGGAGCCAACAGGAGCTAACAGGAGCTAACAAGAGCCAACAGGACCCAACAGGAGCTAACAGGACCCAACAGGACCTAACAAGAGTAGCCAAGTCAAAGTCAGTAGCTGCTATCTCCTGTTTCACCACCAGATGTCAGTATTTGTTAGAACAGCAGGGTTAGTGTGTGTTTACCGGGTCTTCCTGTGTTCAGAGGGATGTTTAGTCTTTGGAGGGCGGTGAGGATCTCTGCTGAGCCTGAAACACAAACACACGAGTCCAATCACTTTCCTCCAAAACTCAACGAATTGTCTCTGAACTGGAGTCAGAACCGTCTGGGTCCGACCCGTTTCTGACCAGGAAGCTGCCGGTGTGGAAGCCGCACATGTACCACAGCATGAACATGTTGGTGACGGCGCTGACGTCCTGGCAGTCGCCCGCTTCCTTCCCAGGGAGCGTCCAAGCAGGAGGGAAAGGAGGGACAGGAGGGACAGGAGGAGGGACGAAGGACAGGGGGCTCTGAAGAGCAAACAGAAATGAAAACAATAATAAAAACCAACAGAAGCTAATTCAGGTTCACTGCAACACAGACTGCTACAGAGATCTTTCCTGCCAACAGCTTCACTAGCTATAATAACTCTGAAGAATTTTAATTCATTTAAATTACATTTAATTTCACTTTGGGATCAATAAGTTTTTTTTCTTTAGAAATGAATTGAATTTAAGAATGTATGGAGGACTGATCCTACCAAAAGTGGCTAAAAATGTAGAAGATAAATAAATAGCTTCTTAAAGTAATTAATGTGCAAATATTAAATTGAAATATACAAAATAAGAATTTTCCCAATTTATTTGATAATACAGTGTAACAGATTAGTAATATTATGTGTTTTTCAGGCACATTATGCCATTTCATTCCACAATAAAGTAACTATGTTCACTTCATTAATCATAAAACTCAAATATGACTCAAAAAATTATTTGTAATTTATTTCCTTCAAATTGGGAATTTTTAATCCAGGTGTGTCCAAACTTCAGGCCCCTGATCTGCTTATGCTGCATGAACAGAACTTTAACATAACAGTTCTGAGCTTAAATATTATTTTATCACTCAAATCAAATCAGTTTTTATTTCCAGAATGTCATTAAATCAGAGAGATAAGACGTATGATTCTGAAATATCATTTAACATATTAGTATATTACTGTTACTATAGTAATAGGAGCTGTAATATTTGAACATTCATGATATTGATGTGGCCTGAAATTCACTTCCCTGCCAAATTTTAGCAAAATGTTAAAATGTACTTAAATTCCCCAAACGTAACAAAATTAGCAAAATACTAACTTCAATGCTGACAGGTTTAAAAACCGAAGAGTGAGTCAGATTTACCACTGATCCGATCTGAGGAGGAGGAAACGGAGGGAAGAAGATGTTAGTCGGGTCTCCTTTCCTTTTCTCTGCGGTTTCTTTCTCTGCTGTGTTCTCATTCTTGGATCTCGCTTTCATCTGAAAACAAAAAGCCCTGGTTGTCAGAAAGAGGCTGCTAAAAGCTGCCCTGTTGGGTTTGGATGGTCGTTACTGTGAATGAGATGAAATGATATTGAAAAATCCAGATCAGTTATCAGTGACAATGTGGCTGATCCACGAAGGCAGATCTATTTAGTCTAGATCTGCCTTATTATTTATTTTACATTATATCTAGAATTCCCATTCGTACTTTTTGAACCTTTTCAAAAGGTTTGTTACAGTTTATTTTAGCATTTCTTTTGTTTTGTCAGTTTCTGTACTATATACCTGACATTGGAGTTCTACTCCTAACTGCACTGAATGAACAAATTAAAGATGATTTTATGTGTTTCAACGAACTGCTGAAGCTGTTGGAGCATGAAAGGCACCAAATAAATGTGTCATTTATTAATGTCTGTGTTTAAAAACAGAAACGTTTTTCTGGATCGGAATCAGCCGATACTAAACCTCAGATATCAGAAGTGAAAAAGTGGATCGGTGAGTCCGTAACAATCCGTCCCAACCAGAACACCGACCATGTTTGGATCGTCTCTCGGTGCGGACGTCCTCCCTCGTCCTCTGTCTCCTTTGCTCTCGTCTCTCCTCCATCTCTTCCAGTCCAGGTTGCTGCTGGGAGGACTGGGAATCCAGCTGCTGCCCTGCAGCACCAACAAACAAAGCTTTAAGAGGCCAAATCCATTTTCCCTGTTATTCTGCAGGTTTCACCTCAGAATGCCCGACATTTGGTTGGACGAATTGTTTTCAGACATGTACACTGCAAAAACACAAAACCATACCAAGTATTTTAGTTGAGCTTGTAGCTCAAATATCTTTTCCTACTTCAGTTATTGACACAAGCTCCTACAAGTTTACTGAAATATTTGCACTGGAACCTAGAGAAAAATACTAGTTCTTGGTAAAAAGAGAGAAATGAGAAAAATGATAAATTGAGTTTGTTTTCATTTTTCATACAAAAAAACTGATTTATTGCTCATTATGCCAGGCCTTTTTTACCTGAACTCTATGAAGATACAGGAGTAAACTAACGCAGCGTTACCTTGGTTATGGCGGCGGCTCTGCTTGGGCCGCGCAGCTCGTCGGGATGCAGCAGGCTGCCAACGTCCAGCTCCTCCTCGTTGTTGTACTCGTCGTAGCGAACGCGGCAGCGCTGATCTTTGACCCACAGCACCACAGCGGGGTAAACCAGGCCGTCGGCCGAGTAAACGGCCCGGCAACGCGACCCGGGCTTCCAGTCCTGAAACAGAGACACACATTAAAACACCATCACTTACAATGTTAATATTATCAACAAACAGTCTGCAGAAAACTGAAGCATCTGGTCTGTTTTTCTGGTGTCTGCTGACAGCCAATCAGAACGCTGGAATCCACCTGATCTACACCAGCAGAGATGCATTTCCTGCTGTTGAACCTGACCTGAAGCTAACGGCTAACCTGAGGCTGTGAGTTCTGCGTTTGCTCTGTAGCGCTGGGACTCCACAGTGTGCTCACGGCCATGTCCTCCTTGTTGCCGTAGACACTGAAGCGAACCCTGGAGCGCTCACCATCAGCCGCCACCACCGTCGCCGGGTAGCTGTTCCTGCTCTCCGACCACGCAGGCCAACACGGAGCGCCCTCCTGATGGAGACATTAACCTGATGAGACCCAACCGACTGAAATGAAGGACAAAAAATATTCAACTTTTTGATGATTTCTCATTCTTTAGATGAACCTGTGTTTGACTTTTTAGTCTTTCAGAAATCCTGAAAGAATCTCAGTGAAATCAGGCATTCATGGTTCAGTTCTCATATAAATGCTGTTTTATTACTATTATTACCATCACTGCCTCAGTGTCTGTCTGTCCGTCCAGCTTTTCTTTTTCTTCCTCCTGCTTTTCTTTCCTGTCCATCTCCAGCAAAGCTTCAACTTCTCTGAGCTGCACAATTTAAATGAACACACACACAGACACACACATATTTATATATATATATATATATATATATATATATATATATATATATATATATATATATATATATAATAGATTTAGTTTATAAAGAAGCAAGGCCAGACATGAACCTGAGATATTTCAGGAGTTTCGCTCGGGGTCGCCTCGGTGTCGTTTACCGCATCCACGGCAGGAAGCTCCTCCTGTGGACCGAAAACACCCACCGTTACATCCGCTAAAGACCTCCATAAACCCGGAAAAATGTCAACAGTTCACCATCTCGACAAGTCTGCGACGCTGAAAGTGGAAAACGAATTACGGGAGGAACGGCCGCCATGTTTGTTTTACTAGCCGTTTAGCAGCTTGTTAGCTCCTTGGCTAATCCGCGAGGCACTTGGATTACATTTTTCCGTTGCCTTTCAACTTCCGTTTTTATTGTATTTTATTTCGTTTATGTTTTCGTTTTTAAATATAAAATTATGTTAGTAACACAAACCAGCTCCACGACTTCGTGAGAAACGCAGTTTTCTGTCATTGCTGCCAATGAGTCAGACACTGTCCACCATCACAGCTTCACAGCCACTAGCTAAGTGATGAAGAAGGACTTCCGGTCAGGCAGTTCAAAATAAAAGCCGACTCTTCCTTCACTTTGCTGTGGATAGAACGCAGTTTATGGAAACCCGTTGATGTCCAAATTTAAGCTTCCCTATGTTTTAAGTAATTTATCTTTCATTTAAAACGACATTTTTCCATTAGCATCAACCAAATAAGATAAAGTAAAAAGATTTATGTCTATATGTATATATTTTCTTTTTCTGAAGAATAGTTAAAATTTCAAAATAATTTGCTTCTCAAATAGTATTTGATTAAAAAAAATAAAGAAAATTAAGTTGCGTGCAAATTCTGGTTTTTGAAAGAGTAACATGAAAAAAAAACAAACATCAGGAATAAATGACAAATTAAAGTTAAAGAAAATCTTATAACAGTTTTTTTTATTGTATAAAATGTATCTACATTTGTGTAGGCTAACAAACACTGTGAATAGCATCATTTATACTTTGACTAACACTGTATAAAACTTGGTTAGGTTATTTTCTAGTCAGTGGAATCACTAAAGTCTTATGTCTGGACTTTGATTAGGTAAAAGCAGTGGTTTGCTGGAATTGCCATTTTCACCACTAAAGACCTGCTAAATATTTGCTTTTGGTACTTTGTTTTCTCTTTTTGGTTGAATAAAGAACCAACAGCAAAAGTCTGAATCAACTGAATCTGAAATTGCAAATTAAATTTGCTAGTTGTGGATTTGAACAAATGAGGAAGGAAAAGAAAGATCAAATATTTGTAGTAAAGAATAACAGCGCCTGTGTATTCTAGCAGGCAGTTGAACAGACACCTAACCCCAGACTGTGGAGGATAGACATAAAGGAAGTTCAGGGTGTTAATGAGATGTTTGGAGAGCTGAGAGCTGCAGGAAAACCAGCAGACTGAAGCCAGCAGAGCGTAAACCAGCAGGAGGTTTCAGACTTTGAGTTAACGGAGCCGTCAGAAGGTTTATGGCACAGCTCACTGACAGAGAACAAACCTTTAACAGAAAGGTTGGAACAAACGCTGATTTAAGCTACCCTACACATTTGTCTGTTTAGTTTTATTTAGCTGGATAAAATCAACTTTTTGTGAAGTTACATACAGTAAAACAGGAGTGTCCAAAGTACGGTTCGGGGGCCATTTCTTGCCCTTGGAATGAGTCTGTGCGGTCCCCAACTGCACTTTAAGAATCATACAAATTTAAATTGATTAATTTTATTTGTAATCAGGGTAACATAATTTTATTACAATGGAAAATGTTCATTACAACACAAAGTATTAAACTTTTTATGACCATGTTTTTATAATAAGTGGAATTACGTTTATCCAGATCCTTTTACTGGGAAAGTCACCTTTCTCTGCATTTACTTTCTTAATTAAACTCGACTAAATATTGGAAGACTTTCAAAAGACAGTAATCCAAAACCTGGTATTATGCCATAATTAAATGTTTTCAACTGAGTTTAGTTTAGTTTTTAGTAAAAATATCTTATTGCACTTGAAATAAGACAAAACTAACTTCAAAGTAATTTTTCAGCAAGATATTAGAGCTTGTTTTAAGTCAATAATTCATTAATTTTGCTGAAAATGCCAGATTATTTCACTAATGAAAATATCTTACTATAAACTAATCAAGCAAAAGATATTCAGCAGCAATGTGGTAAAATTGAGCTTTTTGTTCTCAGGTCACTGCTTGTCCTTTCTTTGGAAACCCTTGAAGAGTTTATTTTTAGAAGAAAGTATTTTTAGTTTCTGAATTTTAAAGTTCTGAATATTTTAATAAGCTGCCAAAAAAGAAGATAAATGTCGGCTCTGGCAGATGAAGCTTTAGAGTTAAAATCATTAAAAGCTTCTCAAAACAAAACCTGCTGATCCTGACACTTCTTGTTTGAGTGAAACTACCGATTGATCAACACTGTCATGTGATCAGCTCTGATTGGCTGGTAACGAGCCTCATCACTCTGATCACATCAGAATAAATGAGATTGATGGTCCCCTCATGGTGGAGATTGATGGTCCCCTCATGGTGGACCATTAATCACCTGTGAGCATCAAAACAAAATTAAATCATTTTTAAAAAGTGGGAGACGGACCAGAACCTTCTGACACCACTGGGGTCAAGCCTGTTAGAAAACGGATGGATGGAAAAGTTTCTTTGATTGAATTAAAAAATCTGCAGACAAAAAAAGAAGTTGGACGGAATTTTGAGAAAGTTTGACTCGTTACACATATTTGTTATTAATTAAATATGAATTTATTCCCCTTTCACCAAATAAATTGATTTGATTGTTATTCATATTGATAATTCTACACTCAATAAAAATATTTTATCTGTTCTTCTCTGTTTTATGGAATATCTGCACAACATATCTATAATAATAACTGAAAAACTATCTTTATTTTCATTATGTTAAGAAAAGGACTTCCTCTGGTGTTTATCATTTTTTCCCAAAGATTTAAAAAGCACTGGATTTTATTTTCATTCTGTTTTATCGTGATAATTCCTTTAGGATTTTATTGTTGGTTTTTATTGCAAATAAAGTTGCAAAAATGTCTGGCTAATAGAAAATGAATAAATAAATTAAGAAAAACCTCAATAATGAATAAAACTAAAGATTTGTAGGTTTTTAACTGAGCCAGCAGGTAGTGCTATAACACAATCTCTGCTCGCAGCCATTCTCTGCAGGAACTTATAAAACCTTCACGTCACAGATATAAAGATTCACCTCAAAACAAAGATTTTAGAAAAACCAAATATATTCATTAGTTTTAAAACATGTTTGGAACGTGCAGATGTTTAATTTGTGATGAATAAATGTGCTGATCAGGTTATAAAAGGACTTTTGTACCGTGAATGAGTCATGATGACTCATCAGGAGGAATATTAGATAATCCTCTGAAATATTCACTTTATTTTTTTTGTCTTTTTAAACACCCAAACACGTGACTGTTCTTTATTTCAAGAACTGAATCATTTAGATACAATAAGCTTCTTATTTTATTATTTATTAAGTTTTGAATCATTAAGTTTTTTTATTTTAAATAATAGCCTGGGAAAATACAGAATTTTATTCAAACTTCTTGCAGAAACTCTCTTTTATTCCAGCAAACTGAAACTATATATTAATTATATTTGTTTTTGATGCTGTGCAGGAAAAAACTCCTGAAATGTCAGTTTCTCTGATGACTTTTCATGTGATTTTCATGCAGTTTCATTTTCATTTCTCAAAAAACCTCAGAAAATATGAAAGAGCACCAAACGGCTCCTGATGACCCATGAAACTCCCCCCAAATCCCCCCAAACAGAACCTTCCCGCCGGGACTCCCCCTGCCCGGTGCTGGTTCTGCCCAGACACGTCCTGCAGCGCCGCAGCCTGGCCGCTAGAGGCAGCATGCGACCCGGTTCGGGCAGCCTGCATGCGGGACAGAACCAGTGCAGCTCAAACGCACTCATTTATTTTATTCAGAAAATGTTTTATTGAGGCTGTGATCACTTGACCTTTGACCTCATGGTAGTTTCTAATCCTAAACATGCAGCTGACTGGCACGTGTTTATCACCGGACCTTTGCAAATTCTGTATTGTTAACTATTGCACAACCGGCGTCATCATCATCATCAACATCATCAGCAGCAGTCCGTTATCCAACCCGGCGGGCGCGTGCCCAGCGCCCCCTCCCCTCCTTGTGTCTGATTAGGTCAGGTGTGCACTTTGATCTCGCTTTGGGGATTTTTTTTTTTTTTTTTTTTTTTTGCACCTTCTGGTGCAAAAAAAAGTTTCTGGGAGCAGAAGGAGGAAGATGTGGAAATTCCTCCAGTCAGTTAGAAAACAGCCGGTAAACAGAGAGAGAGAAAGAGAGAGAGAGAGAGGAGGGAGGGAATGCGGGGGATTCTCCGAAACCACCCACGTGGGATCGCCGGTCATCAGCACCGCGCTCAGCCAATCAGCAGCGCGCTGAAAATTCTCTTTTGATCAGCACGGACCAATCACAAGGCGCTCTGCTGCGCGCGGCTCCCCCCGCTAAACTGCTGATATAAATAAGGGAGTTCCTGCTGTCAGAGGCACAAAGCGACTTTACTCCCTACCGGACTGGACATTTATCCGAATCAGAAGCACTTCTGTTCCGATCTGGATTATTCTGCCGAGCTGTTTGGACTTTGCTTTTTCTCTTTGTGGAGTTTGTCAGGACAGCGAGCGCTGTGGATTTAATTTATCCTTCTAACCTGGAGCTGGTGGAATACTATTCTGAGTTCAACATGACTCTGGAGGAGGTCGTCGGAACCAACAGCACCGAGCAAAAGTAAGCGCTTTGGCCGATGATGCACCAGGATGCACAGATGTTTAGACGTTGCTGTTAGACATGTTGAGCGTTACTGTGCGCGGTTCTAACCGCCCCGCTGTCTCTGCAGGATGGAGACGGTGAGTCAGGCTGTGGAGGAGCTGCTGGTCGCGGCGCAGCGGCAGGACTGCCTCACGGTGGGGGTGTACGAGTCCGCCAAGCTCATGAATGTGTAAGTTAAAGTTCAACATTGATGTGTTTCTGAGGTTTAAAGTCAACATCTTTCTGGGTCTGTTGTTCTAACGTTCCTCTCCTGGTTCCGCTGCAGAGATCCGGACAGCGTGGTTCTGTGTCTCCTCGCCACGGATGAGGAAGATAAGGATGACATCGCGCTGCAGATCCACTTCACGCTGCTTCAGGCTTTCTGCTGTGACAACGACATCAACATCGTGCGGGTTTCCGGCGTGCGGCGGCTGTCGCAGCTGCTGGGGGAAGACACCGAGGACAGCAACGCCAAGGAGCCGCGGGACCTGCACTGCATCCTGGTCACGGTAAGTCCGCCTCCCCGGTCCTCCCGGAGCCTCTTCCTGCCTTCCAGTGCCGTTTGACTCGTACTTCCGGTTGTTTGTGGGTCCTAACGGCTGGTTCCGTGTTGTTTGTGCAGAACCCTCCGGTGCAGCCTCTGCAGTGCCAGGCCCTGCAGCACGTCAGCAGCTTCTGCGAGCAAAGCCGCTGCAGCAACCAGTGGGTCCCCTGCCTGGAGCTGCGGGACGGCTGACTGAACTGAACTGAACTGAACCGAACCGCCGTGCAGCGGTGAGAAGGAGTTGGATTTAAGCGACCCGACCTCCTGAAAGATAGAGGGGGGGGGGGGACGAGCCAGGACCGAACCGACACGAGCTCTCCAGCCGCGTGATGTGGGTCGACCGGTTCTGAAAGCCGGACCTAGACGTGTTGGAGCAGCTGAGGAAGAGGAGGAAGAGGAGGCTGTTTTCAGGAGTCAGCACGTGACTGGACTGATGAATGAGTGGAGAAGAGACGCACGTGGAGACGTGAACGGTGCTGCAGGTGTTTCGGCTCACCTGTGCGCATGCGCATGCTCTTGGACTTAATTATGAACTTTCAGACACATTGAAGTCATATGTTCATATTCATCAATGTGTTGACTCGATCTGATGAATAAACTGTTGAATACATTTACGATTCCTGAGTCATTCATCAGCGTGTGTGTGTGTGTGGGGGGGGGGGGGATGCTAAAGATGAGGCGCAGGGGCCATTTGTGGTCCTTTGAGATTGTATCCATTCTGGTCCTAATCCAGATTTTATTTTTTTATTTCACCAAACTGCTCATGGTAATTTGCTAAAAATAAATAAAAACAAAGTGATGCAAATCAGAATTATCTTCAAATGGAAACAAAAACTTCCGTATTTTTCATAATAGATCAAACTTGCATATACTATTAGATCTACATTTTGGATTCATTGCAGAAAGTTAGCAAAGTTGCGGAAGCTATTAAAATTCCCAAACACAACGTTAGCATCAGTTTGAAATGCACATTTCAGTTGTTCAGTAAACCCCAATGCTCTCCAGTAATTCTGGATTTTATCTTACAGAAATAATCTTTTCATCAGAATCAGCCTGTAGGAATCTGAACGGTAACACTGGGAGCTGATAACACTGTAATAAAATACCCCTCTCAAAACAAGTAAAAAGATAGAAAACAGAATGTTTTCAAATGTTATTAGTGAAAAAAACTGCCAATGTGGGAAATTTTCAACTAAAACTGGCTCCTTTCTGAAAAGTAACATGTAAGTTAAATTTGTCTTGATTTAAGTTTACTGGCGACTGCATCAGTTCAAATCAATTGATCCACTCTTGGTTATTTAGTTTGGAGCTGAATATACAATAAGCATTAACGCCGGTATGATGACGTCAGCTAAAAGCTCAGAGCAACTATTTGACTACATTCCACCAGAAACAAAAGACAAGTTGCCTTTATTCAAATACAGAAACTGTTTAAAGTCAGAGTGAAAAATGGAGCTTAAAATGTCCTGAATGTGGATTTCACAGAGCAGATCTGCTCACAGCGAGTCTTATTCACATAAATGCCATCATCACTGTTACTGTGGAGGCTTCAGGCTGTTCATACATCAGCCTCATTCTGAGAACATCAAGCCAATCACAGAACCACGCGACCAATTAATAGAAACACCAGAACAAAATGACCTGCTGTGTGAACGTATTTTATTTCATCTTTCTTTAACCAGGGGAGTTTAGAACAACAGATTATTTACAATATTGAACAGCAAAGAGCAGCTGTGGAGTTCAGGAGTTTGAAACATTTCTCGGTCAGATTTCACTAATGGGAAGCTTTCTTAGCTCATGACATCAAGCTACACATAGCATCGCTACATCGCTAAAATGATTAGCGAAACTGCAGAACAAAAGCATCTTTATGAACTGAAATCCAGCCCTCCGCCTCCTCAGCATGATCCAGCTAGATCATGCTGCAGCTTCTCAGCGGCGTGGAACCAGCAACCCAAATCCATCCATCCATCATCCATCCATCCATCCATCCATCCATCCATCCATCCATCCATCCATCCATCCATCCATCCATCCATCCATCCATCCATCCATCCATCCATCCATCCATCCATCCATCCATCATTATATTTCTACTGTGGTCCATTTGGAGCCTCTATAAAGTTAGCATGATGTTCCTCATGCTAATTTATCAGCTAAAGTCTCAATGAGCTAATTTGTCATTTTTCCTCTTTAGTTTCACCACTTTGTGATAAAAGTAGGAGCAAAGAACTGAACGTCATCACTTCATCTCGTCACCGTCTGTCGTTCTGCAGGGAAAATATTTCAGTAAAGAGGAACGCAGACCCCCCCCCCATCCTCCTGTGTTTTTGTGAAAGCTGCTGGGCTGTAAACTGAAGCTCACTGAGAACAAACAGCATTGGCCTTGCCCATGATGTCACAGTGTGATGTCACATCCTGTTAGCGGCCAACGGGAATTCTGCAGGACTGTTGGTTTTGGCGGCCGGCCCGCCCGACCTGGCTGAGGCCAAACGGGTCCACGACTCTTGTGAAACACAACAAAGTCCTGGAAGTGATGTGGAGTTTGGCTCAGCCAATCAGCTGCAGCGACTCACAGAGGAAACGATCTGTTTCTGCAAACACAACCGGAGCAAACAGTCCTCTCCTGTCCTTCAGTTCAAACCACACAACAAATCTGCCTTTTGTCATCCAGACACCGAGGAAACCTGGAGTTTCTGGGGGCTGCTGTCACGCGGCAGGCCCCTCAGCTCCGTCCTCGGCACCCAAATCATTTACAGTTTTCTGCTTAACGGCAAGTTTGACTGAACCCAACCAACATGTTCACTGCAAATACAGCAAATCTAATTTCTGTTTCCAAGGTTTTTATGGGCCTTATTTGAAAGTAGGCTGACAGGAAAGACATGCGGCAAAACAACTTGATATTAGACAATAATTCCTTAATAATGATGGAAAAGTAAAAGTTCAACAGCAGATTGAATCACTTTACCGGTGAAATAATCTATCAGTGGAATTATTAATCAATATTGAGGAATTATCGACTAAAACAAGTTCTTATATCTTGCTGAAAAGTTATGTGTGAGTTAGTTTTCCTTATTTTAAGAGTATTAAGAAATAGAAACTAGATTTAACTACTTGGTAAACTTTTATAATTTTGCAGTAAACAAAACTAGAAATTTTGTTTCACCTTGTTTATTTTCATAGACTTTTGTATCCTTTTATGCTGATGACGGCGTTATTAAATTTTTTGTGCGTCATTAAAGAAATAAAACATTGTTTCCATATTTTAAGTGAAATAGTCTACAGTGGAACTAAAACTTTTCAATCAGTATTCAGGAATTATTGACATAAAACAAGCTGCTATAAAAGTTACTTGTAAATGAGTTTTTCATGTATCAGATGCAGTTATGTGTTGGAATTGGAAATTAGACTAAAAATGTTTGGAAAGATATCATTCAGGTTCTGTTTCTCTTCCCTCATTCGGCTCCGGATGGCGTCAGGATTCCTGCGTTCACGTCTCAGACGTCCTGTGAGGACAAACATGAACCCGTTTTCCGTCTCTGCGTTTGGCTGCATCGGTCAACGCTCCCGCCTTGTGACGCAGCCGCCTTGTGACGCAGCCGCCTGGCCCGCGTGCGGACGTGTTTTTCTCCGTGACGAAGCTTCTGTGACACTGTAACCCTGACATGTTTACGCCAGAGCTCAGCTTACAGATGCTTCTCATTTTCACACTTCTCATCTGTAAAGTTTCACTTTTGAAAGTGGAATTGGCAAGTGATGAAAAACCTTGAGAAGTCTCTCAGTCTTTGGCTTCACTTTCTGTAAGGAACGTATTTCTGTAAAGAACGTCTCTTCCTATAAACCACGGGTCTCTTTGTGACTTCTCTTTATAATCAAGGGAGTAAACAAAGAAAACTCGATGAGGAATCGTTTTCCTGACAGAAACATCTTCAGCATGCAAAGCTTTTTCTCACAGAATTGACTTTTTCTGCTTTCAGCCATGTGGAAGCTGTAAGGATTTGCTATGCAGGTCCAAACGTTTGCAGAAGGATGTGTTGCATGGTAATAGAGTAAATAGTGCAGGCAGAGCCAGCTGGGCCGGGCCGGGCCGGGCCGGGACAGGCTGTCTCAGCCCAGCCGCTCACACCCTGAACGCAGCGTGCGGCGGGCGGAGCCGGTCTGCTGCACGCAGGTGAGTGACGGCAGAGCAGAGGTCAACACGCCGTCTCTGATGCCATGGGAGGAACCACCGGCTGATCACGTTACACACCCACTGCGTCAGGGTGTGTGTGTGTGTGTCAGGGAGTGAGAAAGGGAGTTCTTCAATTCTTTAATCACTAATACGGTAGAAATGATTGGAATGTAGATAAAAATAGTCTGCAGTGGAACTAAAACTTTTTATTTAGTATTCAGGAATTATTGACATAAAACAAACTGCTAGGGGAAGATTTTTTACTGGAGCAAAACACAAACAGAGATACTTGGATAGTAGTTAGTAACTAATCATTATGCAAATAATCCTGTTATTTACTGAGTTCTGCAAATAAGCTTTAGTTACTTAGTTACTTTCAGAGGTGGGTAAAGTAGCCAAAAGTTTTATTCAAGTAAAAGTAAAAAGTTTTTGGTAAAAAGTCAACTTAGGAACTGATCAAAATTACATCATTAGAAGGACTGAAATATAAAGATTTAAATCCCCACAGTACCAGAACCGATCCAATATTCACTAAACAAAACGGCATGAGGCCGAGTTTTTATGTTTTGAGCAGAAGAGTGAGGTAAACAAAAATAAACACCTAATGAGTGAAAAGCCAGGAAATGAAAACCAGCAGAGCGCGGCTGGCCGTCCGTGTTTCCATCCTCATCGTATTGTTGTTGATCTGGTCGTTGCATCGTGGAACCATATTTCCAGCCGGCTTGAAGAGCAGGGAGGAAATGCTCTGCAGGAGCGTGAATGGAAAATGCAAATTGTTGAACAGTTCAATTTGCATCGGTGAAAAACATGGAAGGTGGACTAGGTTGGTCAGAACCTGGACTCCAAACTGAGAAACATCTGGACAGCAGCAGGGAGCTGAAGGAGAGTCTGAATTTAAGATCTGGACCTGAGTGACCGTGTTCCTGAACGCGTTTACACAACAGTCAGCTCATTGTGGTGATCAGAACCGACCCGGTACCGGCTCCATGACGGAGAACGTTTTGTCGCTCCAGAATAGCAGCTTTATTTTGGGCCGATAAGGGAACAAAATGAGCTCAGTGTGTCACTCCTGCAGCTATTTCTGTTCAGCTCAGTCCTCCAGCAGCGCGGAGGCTGCCGCTGCGTCACGTCGCCGTGGAAACGGCTGACTGCGGCCCATTGGGCCGGCGGGACCCGATACGTAGGGAGATCCTGCTGCTGCGTCACTGACCATGTAAGGCTGAACCTGGAGCAGGAGAGGATGAGTCAGACGGAGGAAGAGGAGGAGAAGTGATGAGCAGCCAGCCGGTGAAGAGGCGCATTTCTGCACAATCACAACATTTTTACACCATCAGAGTCTGAGAATATCCAACTCTGGTTATATAACAGAACTGAGGCTGAAAGGCTGTCAAATCATGGCTACATTAAAAAGCACAGAGACAGAAAACATGAACGATTCA